ACATTTGAAGCTGCTATATAGGAACAATATTCTTTGTTTTTGTTCCCTATTGATCCATGCTGAAATTGTTTTAATAAAACTACAATTTGATCAATGATTCTGGAATATTGAGGAAGCTTTATTGTGAGATGTTATTGTGTTGAAACTCACATGCATGATGTCATGTTATTATGTTAATATTGTTGCTATGGAAACAGAGTTCATGGAGATTCAATGCATTGAAGTTCAATGATATACTGAATGAAATTATTGACCAATTGACAGAAAGAGATATTATTCAAGCAAATTAATGTGTTTGCAATTCAGAAATATAAAAACATGCCTTTTAAGGAAGAATGCACCTTCTATTGGTTTCAAATTGCCATAGTTACCAACTTATAGTACCCTGCCCAATTATGTTTAGTACATAATGTTAAATAATTGTTAAGTTCATATCGGGTCAGTGACTTTACACTACTGAGAATATATAAATTGTCCCGACTCAGACATGTTCTATTAATCTGCCTAAATGCAGACTTCTAATTAAAGCATGCTTTAATGTTCTCTTGAAATACCAATCTTCCTCATCAACTTAGGATCCTCATCATTATTGATTTCTATCAATGCCTCAGAATATAAATCGATATGTAACTTCAACTAATTCAAAAGCCCCATTTTATATGTCATATAGTCAAAGGCATCTTTGCCAAGCAACACCTTTTAATATGTCTCTGTTCAATGGAACTCCAGGAGAAAAATGTGATGAGGTTCGGAATGAGTCCAAAGTAAAAATCCTGCAAGTTAAGGGCACAAGTATAATTGCATCATTCAGAACTCCTACTGTGATAATCCTCGATTGAGTAAATATTTGTGTTTTATGCATTTCAATATATATAATCAATTTTTTGCCTTTATGTTTGGACATGGGCTTTCAATATTAAAAGCCCATGGTTTGAAGGACGTCCATAATAACTGAAAAGTGCAGAGATGGAACTAGTTGTTGATCATTGACATCATTAGAGATTTAATCAGAAATCTCTATAGTATGCCGCTTGAAAGAAACTGGATCATAATTCAGTTATTGCTTAGGCCAACGAGCCACCACGTGACTAGCGTGCTGAAACCAGTCGTCTGCTCATGCTTATTTTCTTGACATTTCTCTCTAAAATTTGAATGAAGTATCCAATTTTCTTGCATTTCTATACAATGTAGAGTATATACTTTTTGAGTATTCATTTTATATTTTCCGAATTCGATTCTTTTGTACTCTATTTTGTATTTAAAAGCATCACCGTTAGGGGATTTTTCTTACGGGTTGGCAACAAGGGAGAATGAGGTTGCCATGTTAATGCAATCTCTGAACAGTGTTATCTGAACTGTGGATTGTAATATGATTACATCTTTAGGATTTGTTGAATCTGTTCTTCGAAAATGACAGCTTAGCATTTAATTAGATTTTTATTCATTCTGTTCGTTCGTGCTTTCGTCATACAAAATGTAAACCGACTGACCTAACGCTGACACGTTTAATTTAAAAGATAGCTTGGCTGTTCAATTGTGTTTTTATCGGAAATGTGAATAGATTCATATATAATGCATAAGCAATTGTATATTTATCATGATATATGCATATTTGATATACATGTTGTTTAACATATTGGATGGATTGGTGTTCTTTCTATACTAAAACAAAATATTATGGCCATAGTTTTCCTAATAATAAACTCTTTAGAAAGACAGACTATAACTTAATATGGAAATTAGAACAGATGTTGTTGTAATACACATTTGGAATTGTTCAGTAAATGCTTAAAAATAGCCAGGACATATTTTGGACTGACTTTATCTCCCCCATTTCATTGTTTGGATAAGGCACCATATGTCCAAAGAATGATGCAAACAGTTCTAAAATACATAACCTCCAACAAAGAAATGAACAGAGCACACCTGTATGTATGTTTGATATAAAGTAAAACTAGAGCCAGATTCCAAACATCTTTGAGTATTTGAGGCAGATGTTTTGAATGACAGAGGGTATTTTTTGATTAGAGCCAATTGGGGTAAAGAAAATGTGTTTTATAAGGCACAGATAAGTTTTTAAGCAGAAATATAATGACATTGGTTGTCCATTTGAATTCACTTATCCTAGGAGTGTAATATTGAGGTGGTCATGTTTTAAAATCAAATATAGGAATAACGATTGGAATTAAGTGAATGGGCATGTAGTTAACACTCTAAATATAGTAATGTAAAGAATCAGCCAGCTTATGATTTACAAAACCCAAAATTGATTTAGGCACTGCTATCACACTTATCAATATGTGTCTTTACTCTTTTGTTACTTCTTTTTCCTTTTACCAAGCATTCTTCTCATTCAAAGAGTTGTCAGGTTTCCCTCTATACTTAAATAACTTGTGCTAAAATTATCTTCTGCTCATGTGGATTTCATTCTTTTGCTTTTTCAAATGTCAATAAAATACCAGAATTTCTTGTTTGAAATGTTATTTAGAGTTTTAACATCACTATTATTTATTTTATTGTTAACTCATCCCATTTCTTTTGTTTTTGTTCAAGGACTCCTACGATATTTCAATCAATGGGAACTTTTCACTGACATGACACCTATTCAATGCCTAACAGGAGCTATTCAATGCCTAAAATTGGGTCATATTGATCTTGGAAAGTCCATATTTGAATCTATTGTTATCACAAGAGTGTCCCTTTTATATGGTAGATGGAATATTTACCTAACATTTCACAGTTTTACCATCAATTCACTCAAGCTAGATTAGCAATTGTGTTGATTTCGATGTTCAAAGAATATAGTCCAAGAGAGGGCCTTTGGGGTTAATACTATAGGAAGTTGGATTGGATCAATTTTATGGTTGTCATAGCAACTTATTTATTGTGAAGAAAAACCGTGCTCATCAATCACTAGGGATTAGATTTTCAAAACGAGCTCAATAGGCGATTATGAAACCCGAGACATGCTTTTTTCTTGTTTCTTGGACATATAGAGCCTCCGTCTAAAGCTCGTCTTAGGCGATTAGATGCAGTGATAAATATCTTTCAGTAAAAAACTTCCCAGCTCAGATTAACTATCTTTTATGTTACCATGGGAACCAATGGGTATTGTTATTTTTTATGAGATGATTAGAAAATAGTTCATAAAATTTTCTTTGTTATATTGTGACATGTCAAATCGTGACACGGACCACTGAGTAACATATTTATGGCCATGAAGTTTTAATATTGGAAAATTGGAGTCTATGGTATAATATTTATATATGTTCTTATATTTTGCATTATTAATATTTGAACATTAGATTGAATCAGAATATTAACTTGATGAACAGATTGGTTCGATATCATGCAGTGAAGCATATCTTCATTTATAAAGGCTTTCATTCAATTGATTTATTCTTAAAGATACCTGGTATACATGTACAGTACATGTTCCTTCATTAATGTAGACATTTCCATGTTTACCTGTAGATAAAGAAGATAAAGTATATACATATTAGCATATCATAGATAAGTTTTAATCCATTTATATTTGTTATGCATCATTTAGAATTGATCATTTATCATTTAGAATATGTTAACTCAAATGATAATTCATACGTCCTTCTTGGGCTTAAAAATGACACGCTATTATGGTTTCAATGTTATCGCACATGTGTTCGTAATCCCCAGTCAGGAGTATTGTCTCTTTTATGCGATTATCTTTAAAAATGACAAGAGATCTTCGGGACAATATAGTTCATGACAGCTAAATACATTTTATTATTTTCTCATGAGCAATCTTTTCATTAGAATAATGCTACAACAATGGTGTATTAATCATCTGCCTAAGCTCCAATAGCCAAGGTACAAAATGCTGTTTATTTGTGTTTATTCTACTTTTTCTCACTAAAATTTGAATAAATAATCTAATTTTCTAACATTTCTATATCATTTAGAGTGTTGACTACATATCTGTTTACTTTATTCCTTGCTGATTTCACTCTTTTTGACCCAATTTTGACTTTTAAAACATTACCATCGTGACATTCTACCTGTCACATGCTGATCAATAAATAAATTAGGTTGGATTGATATTGCTCTGAAGCTTGAATACATTTAGGTTCAGATAGATTGTATTGTGTTAGTTGAAGGAGAACATAGTTTATAGGTTCGGTTCTTCATAACAATAGACCCAGAATACTGTTTTCTATTGTTTACTGACAAATTACATTTAGGCAGGGAGGAAGGTTATTAAATATTGATAGTTTTGAGAGAGAGAGTGCTGTATGTATGACAAATATGCTTTGTAAAACCAACCATTGGCTGACTCTATGTACCCAAGTGGGTCGGGTTTTCAACAATGTGCCAATGTTTGTAGCAATTAACTCAATGTTTTAATTTGTTAAATGGAGATGGCTTAACAATGCAATTTATTGATTATTGGTTTTGATACATCTTTATCAAGTCAGTTCAACTGAGTGAATCCACCTAGTAGTTCAATCTTCACTCTCATTATACCTATTTTACACATAGTCTCTTGAATTAAATAAACTTCTTCATTTTCTTGGATTTCTGTATCATTTAGAATGTAAACTGTAGGTTAATTGCTTTATTCATTGAAAAATTCACACCTTAACACAATATTTTGAACCCTAAAGTATGACATTTGTTAACATTTTTCACACAGGAGTGCATTTATATAAAATGACCTCAACCGTGACTTTAAGTATTCATTTTCGTATTTATCAAGCAACAATAGTATATATTTTAACCAGATCAATAAAAACCAACATTTATTTTACAATACTGCATGTTATTGAAAAATGTTATAAACAATTGCACACTCAAAAGTCATTCATGCATGCTACGTTTGGTTCTGGATTTACCCATGTATAATTAAGGAAAATTCAGATATTTTAGCACTGATAAATTAATGTTCGTTTTTCTTGTCATGCAAAATTAAGCCTTGTGTTTCTTGTCATGACGTGACGTGTTATTCCCTTGGTGTTTTTCAGAGGACAGAAAGCTGTTCATTGGCATGCTCAACAAACAACAAGCTGAGGAAGATGTGAGAACAATCTTTCAGCCATTTGGAAAAATTGAAGAATGTACTATATTACGGGATCAAAACGGTAACAGTAAAGGTAAGACAATTTCCCTTATAATTATTTTCTATTAACAGAAGAACTATTTGATTGACTGGTTGTGAATATCTTCTTCCATTTGTTCATTCAGAATATTTTATGAACATGTGGAAAGTTACAAATATTCCAAACAGTGAATTGGTGGAATGGAAAAGGCGTCCCCATTTTTTCAATCACACACACTCCAACGTCTCATGGTGTAACCTCAAGTGTGACATTAACACAACCATTGACATTGACAACATTAACGACCAGCTCATTATTACTTAAATTCATTCAATGGTATATGACAGTATGTGACATATCTGTTTTGCTGACACGCAAAAAGAATCATAATGGTAGCTTTGTAATCACCTCCATGATCTTGCAAAGCCAGCTGATGCTCTGACAGTACGAACTAAAAGGAAATAACAATATACAGGTTTTAAATGTATCGTTTCTCTATTTCTCAACATAGGCAGGTGTTTTGTCTGGTTTTATGACCTCTTTCTCTGTTTTTATTGTTTTAATGGATTGGGGTATTTTTTTGTTTTGGTACAATCATATAAACCACATGTGCTCTTAAGGTCACCTGACAGGACAATAGCATGCTGCAATTTTCTGCTCATCGTGTTTGATGGCTCGATATGTTGATTCAGACAAAGTCTGTGTTTATCATTTAATATTTAATGTTTATTGTTTAAATATAACATATACTCTTATGCCATTAACATTTGCCAGGCATGTGTATTTATATAAATATTATTTCAAACGCAGAAACATCTTTGTGTCATTCCATCTGAATGAGCATTCAGTTAATTTACCCATACTTGGACGTGTTCGGGATATATAACAGACCAGTTTTGTAGAAGTTATATTCGATGACAGACAGGATATGGCTTTATGTTCTGGCACAGTGGGATATGCATAGTAGGCATATATGATATATTTTATACCTACCACGGGAATATCCATTTGTATTATTATAAATATTGTAAAGGATAAACAGTACCTGATCTATTGCCCTTTCGAGATATTGGGATATAATGATCTCTTAGCCAATATAATATATATATAATACATATACATTAGCAAGCTTAAAATTTATTATTTCACATAGGTTTAACAGATATAGATGGAGCTAGGAGATGGGAGAGTGTCTCATCTTTGGGGACCACAGAACAAAGTTGTCACCTTCAACAACCTGCATGCTTTTTACATAACTGCAAATCTGCCTGGAAAAATTTTTGATTTAGAAAAAAAAATTTCATTTGTTTTTAGGCTGTGCGTTTGTGAAGTATAGCGGTCACACAGAAGCACAAGCTGCAGTTAATGCTCTACACGGATCTCAAACCATGCCTGTGAGTACACCTACATAAGAACATAATTGGATAGAATAGAAAAGAGAGGAATTAGCGAGGAGTAAATTAAGTAAACAACAAGTTCATATTCTGCATTGTAGATATACATGTATTCAAAGAAAGCAGGAAAACCTGATTCAAAAGAATCTTTTTATGTTGTTATTCTATTGTATTGTCGTTTTACCTGAGTCACTGTTTAATAACAGGGATATTAAATTGTATAAGTAGATATAATTTTAGAGTGATAATGATGTTAATGAGCATTTAAATAAATAATGGAGTTGTTTCTATGGTAACAATATAGAAAAGTACAGTATATATTGAGCTGATTCATCAGAAGACATGCTTAAGGTAAAATGAAATGATTATAATTTGAACAATGAGTCGATACAATAATTTATAATCACAATATTGCAAAAGTCGATGATAGCAAAGATTGTGACTGCTAATATCAATACCATTGGATTCAAGATAACATTAGTAAGTGCTTCGGAATATTTGTACGCAGCCAGTGGATTTATTGCTGATTTGTTGAAGCCATATTTGGTTAGAACAAAACAGCCTTTCAATATATGGCAATATTTCATGCGTTAATCAGATTGCTATTTGAACAGATACTTATGTAAGCAATACTGAAATTCCTATCAATCTGGTTGCCATAGTAACCAGTGTTTTTTGCAAACTAATATCAACTAATGCTATACGTGCGAAAGCTAGGCTATTAATATTACGGCTAATGGTTTCGTATCATATCATACATATGACACAGAAAGAGCTGCGCAGAAAGAGATTCAATATCATATTGGGACCACAATTCAGAACTAGCGTCATAATCAAAGTGTTTGCTTTATAACACGGATCACATGATAAATCAAGAACGAACACATTTGCGAAATTGACATAGCAAATAGTAATGACAAACTAATGCACTGCTTTTGTAGGGTGCCTCATCAAGTCTTGTTGTCAAGTTCGCTGATACTGAGAAAGAACGTCAGCTCCGGAGACTCCAACAAATGGCGGGTCCACTTGGCGTGTTGAGTCCCTTTGCGCTGACACAATATGGTGCTGGAAGTACTGCCTATGGAGCATATACTCAAGTTCCGGTGAGTTACAAAATAATTCATTTTGGAAATCCAATAATGTCATTGAATTATATGGTTATTAATATTTTGCCAGAAATTTGAACTTCATGGAGATATTCTGATGTTTATGGATTGTTTTTAACATTGGTGGTAATGACATGGATATAATTTAACATGATTTTTGTAATGATCACTTATGTATATTTTATAATACATATTATCTGTGTTGTTTTGTACTTTTCAATTTAATGCATCATATATGTTGTGTTGTACATTTCAGATTCAATATTTTCGTTTTATTTATGTTATTGCACCAATAAATTTTAGTTCAAGGAATCTGCATTCAAAGAGTGTAAATCAAGTCATTCATTCCATGTTTAAATTTTGAATCAGCATGAGACTGGTGCTGTGCTAAGACATGTGCCAATCAGGCTACCATAGCTGATTCCATGTTTTGTACCATGCCAAAATCAGAAATAATGCAGATTACTTAGCTGGGAATCTTAATTTTTGTAATAGATGTTGTAAGGAGGGTCAGTGTAACCATGTTTCTTACATTTTAGCAAGTATTACAATCGGGACAAACGCTTCTCACTCCAAATGGAGGCGCCGGCTACATGCCTTTGGCCACTGCCGCCATGGCGCAAGAGGAGGGCTTTCAGAACCCTACGGTAATTTTCCCATTTTCATTTATATATATTTGGTGGAGGTTGATCTTTCCCATGATGAATTGCATCCAGTGCTCATGGTTAATACAGATGGTGTATAATGAGTAGGAGGGTTTCATGGGAGAGATCAGGTTTTTCTTTATGTTTGTTATTCTTGTATGGTTATTTTATCACATTTAGAGCCGAATGTTTGGCTGAAAATTATTGACTTTCCCATTAAAACAATTACCCAAAATACTATAAGGAGCAATTCATTTGATTCATTATGAATATCTGATAAAATAACCAACATTAAGTAAGCCATTTATTGCTCAGTAAGTATTCAACTAGTTAATGATGACTAGTACATTATTAGGGAGTTCCCATAATACTGGTCCATGACTTGCTGTTATAGTTCTAATTCTAATTGCTTAAATTATAACATCCAGTATTGTAGTGTGCAGCCAAGCATATTTATAGTAATGATTGAAACTAAGCTCTATGCACATTTTATGGATCACTAATTACCACGCTCTAATAATTGCTTTTCCTTTTACATTATTGCGCTGTATTAATTGAAATGCACAGGGAATATGTCACGGGATAATTTGTCTCTGTTGAAATGATTTTATTAAAATGAGACATTTTCGAGAAAATACATATGTGAATAATGAAATTCTGATTTAAATATGGAGTGTTGAGTTAGTTTGGGTGGAGGTTGGTTTAAATAATGGTTCATTTGCTTGACGGCACATGTCAACATCATGCATGTATGTGGCCACTTAGGCTAACGCCATGGTTACATTTGCTCCGATTTTTAACACTAGCGCCCGGCCGATCAGGATTTTGTTCAAACTGAATGCAGTTTTGAAAAAAACACTCATATGAAGAGAATGAGTAATTAACGTGATCTTTAAAACAACAATTTGATTCTGACGTCGTCACAAAATTATTGTACAGTGCCCACCTTTGTAACATTATTGAATTATCCTGAATATGGACTGACAGCTCTCTAATTATCGATTGGTCATCATATATTGTAATAATTGTTAGCAGTCACATTTTTGCATGTATATATTAGCCGTATTACTAAGTAAAAATGTCATAATGGTCGTGTTTTAAGTGCCAAACTGAATGGAGTGGAGTCTATAGAAAGAAACAATAAACAGAAAACAATACACTTCATTCAATTCTCAGATAGAAATCACTGGCAGACCTACCTCTTCCCCATCACCCTTGGGAAGGCCCTAAAAAGTCTTGAATTTATAAAATTACCTAATTTTAAAAAAAATTGCATTATTTGATGAAATGGCCTTCATTTTTAAGAGAGTGAATTTTCAACATATTATTTTAGACACTCTTTGATAATTTCCGTCACTGGAAATGGCGCATATTAAACACGACCATAGACATTGTAAACACCAAATAGAAAAGCTTCTTCAATTTATATTCATTCACGTGACTATTTTAGATGAAAGTTGTTCCTTCAAAAGCTGGCCATCAGATTCAGATTAGATTTGCATTCAAGTGTAATGAAGTTGTACTAGATCAATAGTTCTTGAGATTGCACCGTAGACTTTGCTCCCAATTTCGTCAGGGTTCCCTTATTAAGTTTTAGCATTTTCAAAATCATCAATAATTAGTTCACTTATAAAATAACCAGCTTTTGAAATTACAAATTTGTAGTCTAAATGTGTTTATCATAAGGAAAGTAAATGTGTAATTTCTAATAAGTAGAAAGCTGGTACATGTCTGGATTATATACTGGTACATATCTGGATCATATACTGGTACATGCCTTGTTCATATCTTGGCAATTGTACATGCACTGGTACTTGTCTGGTTCATATTGTACATGTCTAGTTTATATACTGGTACATGTCTGAATCATATACTGGTACATTTCTTGTTCTACTATGTGACTTATTTTTGTCATATTATTCTTAACAGTTGGTACAACAACAAGCTGCATTGATGGCTGCCGCAACACAGGGTGGTGCCGCTGCCGGATACATCGCCAACCCCATGGCCACAGCAGCATTGGCAGCACACATGCAGCAGATGTCCGCCCTTACCCCTAACGGCCTCCCAGGGTCTGCGGCCATGACACCCACAACTGGTGAACTAGTCAATGGTGCGTAAAACTTGATTTTATGTTCCAACAGTTTGTGTTGAAAGATATGACTTAACCTGTAAAATCCTGGAAGAATTTATGATACTTCTATTTCAAATGGTAGCCCTTGAAAAAGAATACTATGACAATGAAATATTAACTGACAATTTTATACAGCATCAAACCTGTTCATGCAAATACCATTGCAATTATTGCAACAGAATTTTTCTGGGATTTGGTATTTACATTACAAATGTTATTTTTACATTATAAATAATTCATGGTTTTATACAGATGGTTTACTTAGAAGGTGCCTTTCAACATCCTATAAATGGTTTCAATATTTACAGATAGGCATCGGGTTATTTTAAAGTATATAAAATATATTATATTTATATAAAATTATACTTTGTAGAACCTATTTGTTTGATCAAACATATCTAATTCTGTTTCATCAATGCAGGATAAAGTGATAAAATAATAGTAATGGGTAATGGGATATGATTTCATCATCTTCAAACTGATATCTGAAATTTGATTTGTGGTGACCATTGGCATCCATTTATTTTGTTTTACATATTGTGCGCTTGAATAACTTAAATTCAATGGCAATTGTGCAGTTGAATCTTTCTTTCTACTTTGTAAAGGGAAATCTCGAGCAAGAACGGGAAATAGCATCTGTTATCAGTCCATTAGTATTTATATGTGGATTTCTACTTAGAGGCTGCCTGTATTCTAGTAATGCTAATTTATTGTCACTTAGCATTATGAACATTACCTTTTCATATTATGTTCCATTATATACAGAATATACCAGATGTACCGCAATTCTGTTTTTCAAATTGATCTCCCCTACACAGGCAATACTGTTATTATTGTATACGTGTGATGATAAAGGGGGAAATGTGATGATATAGGGGGGTATATCTTGAGGGTTATGTTTTGAAATTCAAATTTTCATGGAACGGAGTGGAATAATGAAGGAATAAAGTAAACAGGCGTGTAGTTAGTAATCTAAATTGTACAGAAATTTAAAGAGAATATTACGGAATAAGTACAAGCAGCCATTTTAACAGACAGATTCATTAATTGAGGGATTAAGAAAATTAAATTAATAAATTTGGCGTGGATTGTGAGCTTTTAATAATTACTAGAGGAGTTATTGTTTCTAAGGAATTATCTTTCCCCAAGTCCACAATATCAAAGGGTTCATTTTAGTCAACTATATTCAATTTAAAGAAATGGGATGGTTGCTAGAGACAATATTTTGTGAAGTATCACTTGTTCCATATGTATAGATTTGTTCTTAAGTTCCTGGGACATACATGAGGATTAATGTTTTCAAAAATAATTGGATGAATTTTAAAAGGCGTATGCCCTTATACTGATACATGCACTTCCTGGGCTTTATTATAACATTTTTAATTGTATAGATTTGATTTATAGCTTAATAACATCCTGTTTTTCTGTATCTTACTCATTTGTTAACTTTAATTAGTTCACTTACATTATCACTGTATGCAGCTACATTTCTAATGTTAATGATTTTTTTTTCTAATAAATATTTTTATGTTTTATAGCCAGTTCAACGATGAACGGTACCCCTCCCACAATTCTCTCCCCAACTGGCACAGCAAGCTTTGCCGTTCCCGTCACTAATGGTGAAATGGGACCTGCTGTTTATACCAATGGAGTGCCTCAGTATACAGGTAAATATTTTAGCGTCATGCATTTATCGTCTTGCATTAACATTCTTTCTACAGATAAATTAGTCTTACTTCAACACTGTGGAACTGGCTCTTTATCTAAACAACAAAGTTGTTAAAGTAGATAGTCCAGGGTCTTGAAGCAAGACTATAGAAAAATTACAAAAATTCCTCCTGACACAACATGTTATACTTGGAAAAGCATAAAGGTTAACCTGGCACTTAATAATATTTGAATATGGCCTTCATTGGTTCATTCCAAAGTACTTGCAAACTCAAGCAAGATAAAGTGGCAAAGAGCTTTTAATAAACAGTTCTTTTCCACTTATTGTGTCTCTGTGGCTTTGTATGCATGTCTGCTGTATGTGTCGTTTGTTAACCCGAGGGACCCTCAGTTCCAATGAAACATTGCAGCTAGAGTTGTTTATGCACTCCTTCAATTGTAAAGTCAATGTCAGGATGTTCATCAGTGATTGGAATAGAGTGAACAGCTCATGTGAAAATGCTTGCAAACTACGACTTCCAGAGTTTAATTTCATGAGTCTATTTTTGTAATACTTTCAGAAAACATTCCCTAATTGTTTTGTTTGATCAGAAATAAGTATGATTAATTCCCTGAGTGTAGCAATTGATTATTTTGTCCTGAAATATGAATGATAATAGTCAATTTCAAAACCCAAATGTCTAGTTGACATTTACTCAATGTGTCTACTGTAATTTTCACGTCATTTGAAAATACCATTTTTGTGTTATGAAATCACAAGATACTCATTTCAGAAGAAACTGAAAAACTCGGTGGGATACTATTTGATTTGTTTCTTTTGTACCCATTACCCATTTGGAATCTTATTTTGGGAAGAGTAGAGTTAGGATTTTACCAAGGGTGATTATCGTGACAATAGAGTTTACGATGACTTCCTAACGTGTAATTTCTCGGGGCAATCTTGGCTTTGCGTTCTTTAGTGTCTACAGATAGGACTTATTGGATTATTGGTATGCTAATGCAATCTCTGATTGTAAAGTACCCCACATGTCAGATTAATCACCATTTCTTATCACAGAATGCCATAGTAAACAAAATTACCAAGAATAAGACAAGGCAAGACAAGTATTTACCATCAGTTTTCTACCATTTCCTTTTTAAATTCCAATTTTAAATTGCTTTGGATGGCAATTAGTATAGAAACGTGAGAGTCATTTCATGGTGATCTTGTGATCGAAAACAAAATAGTGCAGAAAAGAGTGAAATAAGCAAGTAATATAGCAAATAGGCATGAAGTCAACACTCAAAATTATATAGATTTGCAAGAAAATAAGACGGTTCATTCAAATTTTAGAGAGAAATATGTCGTAAAATATGCATGACCTTGGACCCAAAACAAAATGTGTACTCGTGTATAAACAGACCTCATTAAGATTTTTCACATGATTTACTCCCAAGAGAGAATCTCTTGAAAATAATTCATCCATTAACTTGCTCATTCCGGTTCTCCCTGTTGAATAAACCTGATTTCCCAGAATTTAGTAACAATGATTACAAGTACGTTAGTTAATGTCGATTTTGTAATCAACAATTTTCTTCCTAGAATTTCAATCATTATTCAAATGATCCTGTATTTCCCATTTTGATACCATACCACGACTCAATATGTACTTGTGATATTGAATGCTACCGTATCTTAGACCATAGATCTTAACTGGCATTCTGCGATCAATAATTTGGTCTTTGAACTGAATGTAAGATATCATTTCCAGCTATTCTGCTGCTCTGGTGCCATTCAGGCATCAAACGATATCATTAGTAAAAGCTTGTTACATGGGAAACTAATTAATATATTCTATGTAAAATGAGGTCTTTTTTCATGTAGTTATACAAAAACAAAAACTTGATAGAAAAAATATTGAAATTGAAGTGAGTGCTGGTCCTTTTAACTGCCAGGTCGTCAATATTTTCTCAGTATTTTCAAATTATGGTGAATTTACGAATGCCTGGTATACTTAAGATTTCTCCCTTGCTTTTGAATGTCAATAATGTGAATATAACAACTGTGTGTAATGTATAAAATATATTTGTAATGTATAAAGTGTTGTAATGTGTATAATATTAAATTTGAAATTGCACACTATTCAATATAAAAAATTAACCCTTTGATTTCTCAAATTATATGTAAAAGTAGAATAACAATTGTTCATTCTGTGTGAAATATATGTGTAATAGCAGCATACATATGTATATGTAAAATGTGTATTAACAATATCTATGTGTGTTATGTGTAATAACTCGTGTGTTTTTGTTGCAGCACAAATGACCAATGGTGACCCATTACAGCAAGCCTACTCTGGAATGCAGCAGTATGCTGGTATAGGTTGTTACATTTTCTGTTTCATCTCCCATCTTGTCTTACGCTTTGTGTTGTCGCATCACTTGGTTGCATGATCTTAGCTGTATCAGTTATTTCAATCTGGATACCTTCTCAATTGAATACTCTTTAACCTTGAATGCCCATTGCTTCTCAACTTGCGTTTAATTGAAGTTTTTTCTATTCTACCGGATGGTTTCAGTGATACATGCATGTTTTGATTTATTTTTGGGGTCTACGTCTTATGTAGGGGTCTTCAAAATTACAAATTGTAACCATCTTTTGATGTAAATAAGATGTATGTCGATGTCTGCTTAATTCAGTTCATCTGGGGTCATGCAAACCTTGTGTCTATCTCGCATGCTGCACTTTCCAGATCTTTTGTGGCGTCCATATGTTCTTCTATGTGTTTTGATACAAAGAGTTCCAAGAGAAAAATTTGAGAATGGTCACATTTTGAAAGTCAGAATGGATTTAAAACAGTGGAATAAGCAAGGAATAAAATAAACTGACCTGTAGTTAACACTCTAAATTGTAAAGAAATGTCAGAAAATTAGACATTTCTTTCACATTTTAGAGAGAATATCTAGAAAAATAATGACCTTTAAGATATTTTTCTCTTGGAAAATGTTTCCATAAACCACCCTGTATTATATGAGATGGTAACACCCTGTATATTACGGGTTACATAATATAGTGTGGTTCATGGAAATAAGAATTATTTATGTGATAAAAGATCTTCACCTAGTATTACATTATTACGTTTTTTTATAAAGTTTATTGGAATATGGAATAGAACCTTAGAAGGTTTTATTCAGAAAACAAATGTTCCAAAATTGGAATCTATTACCATATTGATTTATTGAAAGACAATTTTCGAAATCACTAGAATTGTGCTCAGAAAGGGAGAATTTATCGATTGATAATCATGTTACATCCTTATTGATGTGATACCATTAAGACTCCTGCTTTATCTCTATGATCAAGAAAATATCCAAGTGTCAAAATTTTACCAAATATCAATATTATGATGTCATTAAGAAACTCATTTTGATTTATGCTACATGCTCATATGTTAATTATTATATATAATATATTTAGTAAAGTGATGAATTATTTTATGAATGTATTTTATGATTATGAGGGTTGTTCCAAAAGTTTAAAAAGTCTATAATGTCAAGTCAATTGTTTTGTGACAGCCCTCGTAAAATGTCCGATGCATGTACATGTATAAAGACTCCTTCTTTCTGTCACCTGAGGAAATGCTTTCCATGTAAAAATTGTGGTAGCTGGACGTTATACATAATAGCAACAAGCCATACATCCGACTGGAAAAGAATGTGATGAACTGTCAAAACTCAATCAAAATGTTAAGCTGAACAGGCATTCTACAATTAAAGGGTGTCCAAAATATGATTTACATTTACAATTCATTTTTATAAAGAAATTCCATTATGGCTCATTAGGGTGGTATTTTAGCTGTGTTTTAGTCCAAAAAGTGGGTAACTGGTTCTTATAAATGTGTTTCTTCTACCCTGTCAGAATCGAGTCAATTTCTCAATTAGAATGAGTAGATGTTCAATTTGACCATCATGACACAATCAGTTGTTCAAATGGAGCATCGTGACATAATCAATAATGTTAAAGAAGGGCATTGTTAGCAACGTATTACATCCAGCTCCCACAATCTGGTGTCCATTTGTATTTATAAACTAAATTCAATTTCCCCTAATTTGTCTCTAAACTACCCATTTATTTCCAAGATATTTAAGTTTCCTTCCCTCTCATAAACTTAATGCTCGTAAAGATCTTGCCGTTTGCTCTAAAATTAACTCTACCTTACATATAGACTTGCATTAAGTAATTCCCTCCTTTACGACCCATTTCTCCGATGAATATGTGAGAGGGGCTTGATGCGAGACTTCCAATGTTGATTTTAGAGGATCCATCAGGGTTAACAGAAAACTTGGTTTTGTATGGAGTATGAGTAGTATATGCATGTAAATGTTGGACTTGGTTCATTGCAAATTAAAGCTATGAGTGGGAATAAATAAAATCAGGTTGCCAGTTTTATGTATATTTTAGTATCTCTAATTTGAAGAGCTTTATTGCATGTCATTTTGGCCTGACATGCCCTATGGATCATTTTAACATTATGACTATATAGTTGAATGAAATTAAACCCTAATCAAAAAAATTCATGGAAAACCTGGTATTGTTAAAATTACTCATATAATAGTTCCCTTTATTTATTTGCTTCATAAATCGTAAATTCTTAAAATAATTTGCTTTTATTTCTATTTTTAGCTACTTATCCAACAGCATATGGACCTATCCCCCAAGCTTTGGGGAATCAGGCAGGAGTCGCCATACCTACAATCTCAGCGCAGAAAGAAGGTGTGTATACAATTTGAGACAAATGCGGGAAAACACTCTATTCCTGTTTTAGTTGACTTAGTGTAGTTTTGTTTGATGTGGCTTTGGGCTTAAATTAAAACAATGCGATAGTTGTAGATTTAACCAATGGCAAATCACATAATTGACAATTTGAAACTTGAAAAGCAAAAATCGTTTTCCTTGAGGAGTAAAACATCTTTCCTGGGAGATTGAAGTTCATAATTGGTGCTTTAGGCTAATCTAATTATAGATTATTAAATATCAAGTATATCCTTATTGTGTCATTTGCTATTGGTTGATTTTAAATTTGGTATGTAGAGAGAATATAGCAACTGCTGTGCTATCTTAGGTTGCTGTCATACCCTTTGATAAAAAATATCATGAAAATGTCATGTTTTAAAGTGCAAAACTGAGTAAAATGAGAGGAATCAGCAAGGCGTGAAGTGAATAGACTTGTCATCAACACTATGTAATATAGAAATTCTTGTAAATTTGAGGATTTTGAGAAAACATGACATAAGATTTTCAGCATGGCCTCATTCATACTTTTACTTAACGTACTAACAGTCTAGGCTTTAATAATTCACTTTTAAAATTATATACATAAAGCCTAATATGCTCATCTCAAATAAATTTTTTTATTATATCAATGTCTTTATAAACAAAGTTTCTTTGGGATTTGAACAGCATGTTTTTCCCGTCTCAGTTTTTGACTTCAATTTCTTCATATCTCATAGTATATATTTAATCTAACATGATAACCGCTTTATTTATTTATTTTTTATTTTGCTGTCCTGTAACATAAAAATCCTAATACTTCCTGCTGTTTATATTAATTTAATTTTTCTACTTTTTTGTTACTGATTTATTTTTATAAATTATTATTTTTCAAAATTATTATTTATTATACATTATGATATTATTTTATTAATATATTAATTAAGTCGGTTGTAGTTCTCCTTGATACGAATAGTAACCTGTAACTGTTTGATTCTAGAACATTCTTATGATTCTAATTTATCAAATATTATCTACAGTTTCATACTATTTAAAGAAGATGAAATTTGTTGTCTAAGATGATGTTATTAAGTGATACAGCAGTGTCGAGAAGTAAGAGTAAAATGTTGTTGAGAATATGATTTTGCAATATTGTACCAATTTACTTTATGTTAAATTGTGATGCCGTGTTATGTATTGTATATGTATTAGTAATGTGCATCCCCTACCACGTCACAAAATAGCTATTGTTTCATGAGTTCAAGCCTCAGAACACTTTTTTGTTACTTAGATGTAGTCTTACCAGCTGCCCGAGTAATTTTACACCCCATTGGCTCTGTTCATTTTGACCACAAAGATTCGAAATCTCTTATTCCTAAGGGACACCTCAAAAGTCAAAATTTTTCTTGGCCTACAGGTTCCCCCACTTTTTGCTTAACTCTGAGGTTTTCCTCTTGGCTCCAAAAGTCAGAAAAGTCAGAAGTAAATTGTCTCATCTATCCACAAAAACACTGTTCCCTGAAAAAGTTTACCCTTGAAAGATATCATAAATTGTCTCCAAAATGCTGAAATGTCCCCAAAATCTCTGAAATATCATCCCTTCAAGTTTACTTTTGTTTTAAACTTAAAATGAACCCATCCTTCCTCTATGTGGATTACCCCCTTGCACCAAAATGTCACGCTTGCTAAAATGATTTCCCCAATGACTTGCTTGTTCTTAAAATTCCCCAATGTCAAGCTTAACCCCAAGCCCTTACTTAATTGTGACAATAGGACCCCCTTTTCCCTGGAGTCATGAATTCAAGTCCCACCCTTGCCAAAAAGTAGAAATTGCCCCTGACCTAAAATTTTGAAATATCCTCTTTAATCTAAGGTGTCATTTGTCCATTGATTAAAGTGTCACACTAAAATTTCAGAATTTCTCCTGATCCAAAAATCTGAAATGTCTCCATTGTCTTAAATTCCAAAATGTTCCTTTCTCGACCTTACCCAAAGTAGAAATCGTCCCCCTTAGCCAAAGTAGAAGTCACCTGCATTTTTGATGATGTCATCAATCCCCCAGCCTCCAAGATGCACATTGCTAACTGTTGATTTATTTTGCATGTATATTGTATTCGATGGTGCTAACTCTCTGTTTTCCGTAACCCCAGTGTTCCTTACAGGACCCGATGGCTGTAACCTCTTCATCTACCACCTGCCCCAAGAGTTTGGTGACCCAGAGCTGGCTCAGATGTTTATGCCGTTCGGTAGTGTCATCAGCGCTAAAGTCTACGTCGACCGTGCAACAAATCAGAGCAAATGCTTCGGTGAGTATTACGCTATAATAGTCAGCTGGTATTTTAGTCCTGTTTGGTATTAACGGTCTTAGTATCTAGTTTCTGCTGATCACCCCCTCCTATTTATCCCATCATTGTGTTTGAAGAGGTGTGGCTCTGCCAAGGGGGAGGGGGTGAAAAAAATACAGAAGACTTGATACAGGACTAGGTATAGAAGATAATTTTATTTTTTGATTATTGTATTTAGTCTTTTAATGTTTATTATTGTATTGTTAAGCAGTTTCAGATGTGTTTTGGTATTTTATTGCTAAATTTTGTTTTTATTTTGGTAGTCATATTATCAATGATTTTACTGGTATATCATATTTAGCATATTCCAGTTTGATTATTTTTTCAATTTGAACTTTGCCAAATTGGCAACTTTGCCTTATGTGGGAATTGAACCTATATCCTTTATATAATTGTCAAATGTTTAAACCTGGAGCAGGCTTATCCCAATAGAAGGCGAAGGGATACTGGGAAAAGATAAAAGATGAGGCTACAGGAAATTGAAGTTGGTCATATTTTAATGTTTTATTTTTCTTCTCTAGGTTTTGTAAGCTTTGACAATCCCACGAGTGCCCAGGCAGCCATACAGGCTATGAATGGTTTCCAAATCGGGATGAAACGCCTTAAAGTCCAACTAAAGCGCCCTAAGGATGCCAACAGGCCCTACTAGTCAACTGGAACAGCCATTGAATGTGCTAGTCCATCAGGTATGTTTCATCATGATATTTTATATAAGAGAAATACATCTACATCATATGTATGCCACATCAGGAGTTGCACGAAACTCAGAGTTGTGTGGAAATATTTTTATTCACATTTCTGTATATACATAAAGCATTGAAAACAATGACAGTCTGCAGAAGATTTGGGGAAACTGTGGGATTGAAAGTGTGAGTCAATCACAATACACAAATGCTAAATAAGATCCCCATCTTGGATTTTACAAAAATCAAATATGGATCATGACAAGTTAAAGTCAAAATTATTCAATTTCTATGGTATTGAAGCCCCCATAGGTTTGTACATGTAATAGTGTATAAGATGAAAATGAACAGACAAAGATCTGAGATTATGAAACTCAACCTCTCCCCTTTCCATAACTCCCTTGCACACTTTCTCACTTTTGTTACCATGGCAACCAATAGAGGTCGTCGCTAGGGCTAACGCAGATGGTAACCAGGGTAACCTCAGATCACAATACCAAACATGATTGGCAGTAAGTTTAAATAATGTGTAAGTGGTAAATTGGTGACGGGATGTCGTTTGACTTTGTTAGCCGTTGTCATGGCAACGTTGTCCCATGATGACTTATGGTTACCGTAGTGACTGTGAAGTATTGTTTTTTGCTTTTATATTGTGATTTTAGTTGATTTGGGGGATAAATTCATAGTCAATTATTTGGGATAATTTATATATAAAATAATTGCTGTAAAATATTATTACTAAATCTCTGGCAATCACTGTGAATTCATCTGCATGTTGAATACTGACTTTACTGAACGTACTATGGATGTGAGCGTACTGGTGTAACGTACAGTGTACGCCTACTGGTGTGACATACAGTATACGCCACGCTTTAGAGTGTCGCTAGTAGAAACCCCCGACCTCTCGGTGTTTAACTGTTATAGCTCATTATACAAAAATTCTCCGTCGTATCTGGGATTTAAATGTTATAGGGCATTATTGACCTTTATTTTTGGTTCTTACTCGTATATTTAAAATCATCACATTACATATATAGACCTTGGTTGTTTCACCTTTTTCAATATTGTGCATATACATGTACTCTTGTCTGAGTGCCTTTAATTGGTCCAAGGTTATGCTGTTCTAATTTTCAAATCCTTACCCTAAAATTGAATTATAAACAGTTTGCCTATATGTATATATGTCATGTTTATGATTTATTTACTTGTTTTCATTATTTTAAAACTGTTTAAGAGGTAACATTAAAAATAAATGAGCAATTTTACTCACAGTGTAAAATTAAAACTTCTGGCATCAAAGTGATAGATTATTACTACATAATCATTCCAGAATTCATTAACTTCTAATAATTTCTCTCAAATGGGACATACATTGCCATGACATTGATGATGCAAAATTGAATCCCCCTTTCTGCACAAGATTCCTCTTGAAATCTCTTGATGGAAAAAATTATTTTTGTATTTTAGTTAAGGTGTGGACATTTTGGCTGTTCAAACCTTTTACATTAGAATTTTATAAAAATGAATTCAATGTTAAAGAGGGATCTTTTATGCTTAATTTTAGTTTTATTAAATGATTTATATATACATAAATGAACGTCTTATTTTATATTAATCCTAACATTGATTTTTCAGCTTTTGTCTCCATGACGAAATAAAGTGACACAAGGAAAGACTGACACAAGTTATTTGTGAGATATTGTGAGACAACTCTAATAAACTGTACATAAAATGCTTCACCTGGACCAGACATCCACAATGCTTTAGATAGAGGAAAATGTGCACATATTACGCAATTTATAGGATATTTTATGAGGCGTGTCACCATGACACACCCAGCAGGAATTAGACATATCGCAAAAAAAGAAACACAATTAGTGTAGAATGTAGCGTTAACATATAGCTCTATATATTAGTATGACATTAAAATGAAGCAGAAAATCTGTATTATATTGAAATCCATAATTTTGAACTTTTATGAGGAAAATGAAACATCGTTTTTGGTTGCTGTAGTGATGATAATTACCTGTTTTACATCTTTTGATGGATTACTTATTTCTCATTCAAGTTTTCACATTTGAAATTGTTGTAGACTTTAGAATGTTCTAGAATGTGCGGTGACTCATCAGTTGCTATGACAATGACGTATGTTGTTTGTTTCTATAGCAACACATAGTTGCGCTCGTGATACATTTGTTATCAAAAGGTGCATTGATGTTGTGCAATAAATCGCAATTGTGTGCAATCATGTCAGAACTTTTATTTTACCAGTAAAATTGGTAATTATCACATAGCAACCAATTAAAGATGTCGTTACCATGGTGATAATGAGAAACATATAACAGAGGCCTTTTGTCTCTTCGAATGATATGAGTCGATCTGTATAAAGTTAGAATCTCTGTTTATTTAGTTGCTAGACTCATATATTATAGTGTTTATATAACGTAGACCATAACAGTTAAGGGACCAATATTACATGGTCAAGATCAAAATAGTTTTATTTATGATGAGCGAGCCGTGGAACAAATGTCAAACATGAATAAGTATTATATATTAGTTAAGCTTTACTTTTGCATTCCAAAAAGTAGTGATTGTTATCCACAGCCTAAATATGTACTTAAATTTTCATTTTTCTAACATATCGTAAAAATGTCTGAAATGTTTTCTCAGTAACTTAAACAGTGTGAAACCATGCTCAGTGTCATAAAAATGTTTCGATTTCCTATGTTGATAAAACTGTACATTATTTTTTTGCCCACCTTAGGTGTATAGTGCTATTTAGTGCTGATAAACAATTCCATATATGGGCATTTAACATTCCTAATATGGTATATGATCGTGCATTCCCACCAAATATGGTAACATTTTTGTACTTGTTTTTTGAGCCATGTGAAACGTCTACAATTATGTAAAGATGTTCTACTTAATCATGTAAGGTTTTAAATTGTTATATACATAATATTGTTACATATTTTACTGTACACATAGTACAATGTAGCATGTAGCATAGGTTATTATAGTAGAATGTGAAAAACTCAAAGTTTTATTTATTACTGTGTGCTAATTTAATTGACTATTTATATTTAAAGAGAAACAATTGTTACATATAGAGATTGTTAAAAATTATTTAATGCCAAGTTGCGTTTCTAAAAAATCATGTTTTTAAAAATACATTTTCTGTATTTCCTGGGTATTCAACTTATTGTCAACGTAATAGTTTGACTTATTTTCAACTTATTTATTACATACAGATATGATATGTTATCGCCTTATTTTGTCTAAAAATGTTTATTGGAGTATTTTACAATTCTGTATCTATATGATCTCTCCTGTGTTAATCACCCACTATAGGATGTATATACTTTTAGAATTCACCTTAGTCTAGTGCACAAATATTGAGAAACAAATGAAAAATGATGAAAAGTTAAAATTCACCATTTTGCAGATACTGTATGTATATATGAGCGCCACCTATGATGTTTTGGTTGACCATTTTCATTTGGAATATTTATTTTGTAGTTGTGTATATGTGATCATTTCTTGGTTTGTATGAATTGTATTGTGTGACTGCCATTGCATTTAAACCTTTTAATAGTCTAAGGTTTAACTCCCAGCATTTCCAACTATTCAGCCTTTATTTATTAGCTATTATTCATATTTTGTTCTCTCTTGCCACATTATGAAAATGTGTGTCCAGAAATATGGATTTTTTGTCTTTTATTATCTTAGATGTGTTCATAAATGCAACTTCCGTGCATAACAATTATGAAGTTCTTCATATATATCTTGTTGTGCATATGTGAAGTTGTTTTTGTATATATGCAGTTATATGTGCATATATGGAGTTATTATCATATATATGCAGTTATTTGTGCATATATGGAGTTATTATCATATATATGCAGTTATTTGTGCATATATGGAGTTATTATCATATATATGCAGTTATTTGTGCATATATGGTGTTATTATTGTATATATGCAATTATTTGTGCATATATGGAGTTATTGTATATATGCAGTTATTTGTGCATATATGGAGTTGCCCTGCATATAGGCAGGCAGATGGGAGGGCCGAATCTCAATCAGTGCAATTATATGTTGTACAGTGTGTCTATTTAATCGTATAGCAATATTTAATCTCCTATTTCAATTGTTAAATCTTCATATCATCATCTCTCATCATCTCTCATCATTCAGGTGGTGAAAATATGAGTATTTTAAAGCTATAAGGCAGCAAGCAGGCAAATGTGCAATATACATGTCGAAGTAATTTTCAAACGTTTTTTGATTTTTATTTGTTGTAACAGTCTACACTTCTCTCATATAATGAGGGGCTTACTTTGTTATCTATGGTTGAACATAGGTGGCTCTGTTGGTTGAATAGTTGGAAATAGGGCTGAGTTGACTTTAAACTGAAATCATAGCATACATTTCCAGTACTTATGTATACTCGTATATTGTAAAAATATCTAAAATGTTGTAATATTCCATTATTGGAATTGGTGCAATGGGTGCAAATGGGAATTTGTGCAAAAGGTGTAAATTGGTGCAAAGGGTGCAAATGGGAATGGGCGGCAATACAGTGTCATGTATCATTTTGTTTGAAACTTGTCAGTTTTGCTAGCTTTTGTTATAGTGAATGTTTACATGCATGTATAAAAAAGCTTTGGTTTGTGGATTATGTATAAGGTTTTGTCAGTCTTGTTAAAGGGAACGTCTCACAATTAGTCTTTCAGTTAACTGTGAAATGTGAGTTTTGTGTTGTTTTTATACATTCCCCAGTCACTGGACTTCATTACTTATATCCGTATTAATATTTTTCACCCAAGAAATTATCATTCCAAAATCTTTGTATGGTTGTTCATATTTCATTCCATGGTATTTTCACTTACTTTCATGGTATGATGATTTTGTCCTTTTTAACAGAGAAAAAGCATTTTATATTTTATAATTTTCAGTTATTGGTTAGCAGCATAATCAATATTACAATACAAATGGTGTGATCACATATACAACAACTTTCATATCGAAAAGAACTCTATATTATAATGTTATACACATTTACAAGTACTGCATTTTGCTTGAACTTTTAAACATCATATTTAAAAATGTACACTTATTTATTTATAGCTAAAATGCTTGTATAGAACTGTAAGAATTAGATGGGTTGAGTGTGTCTGTGCCTGTGTGACAAAAGATGCGGTTATTTTGGGATGTGGTCAGTTCAGTACATATTTCGCTATTCACTGTTCTCCATTGTGTCGATGCAGACTAGAATTGAATTTTGTAAAAAATCGAAATGAGATTAAGATTCTATTTTTATAAGACATTACATATTTTCACAATAATCATAGAGCACTGGTCGTAAACGAAAGAGCATTAGGCGAATACCTGTGAGATTTGCATTTGTCGCAATTCCGGGGTATTTGCAGCTTATTTTTCCAGTGAACGTTTCAATGTTGTGGATCCCGTAACTTTGTGATGTTGTAATAAGTGGCAGAATGTCTAGTCTATCACTGCAGACCACACTAGCCTCTCTTTGGTATTACCATAGCAACAGATCATAGACACACAGACACATGATATTAAGTTATTTGCTGCCATGGCAACAACTTGAATTTTATTGGTCAGATGGAATTATGAATAACTTGACAGTGCATGTGTACCTAGTTCTAGTTCTTACAGATTTTATACATGCATAAAGCTTTGTATATAGTACTTTAATTATTACAAATATATAGACTACATTAGTAGGCAGATGGCAGTGTTGAGCTGTGGAACATGTAAGACCTCCAGATCGCCAAAATGATTGCAAATGACCATATATGGTTAAAAAGGTTGTTAAGTATATAGAGAGCTTATAATGACTAATATTTACTGTATATTTCAACTTACATGTACAAGTTCATATATAAATGATTATGAAATCAGCATAATAGATCATATGAAAATAATGAAAAAGAAAATAGTGTAATCTTGTACAGACTCTTACTACATAAACTGAATAAAAACAAAGAAAATCCATATGTTTTGTTGTGTTTCAATTTAAGTGTGTTAAAATAAGGATGTGCTTTACAAAGATATATAACCCTTTCTATGATATTAATTTGTATACAATGAACACACCCACCCCCAAGTCCAATGACATTTGTGAAACTGTAAACACAATTGGTAATTAAAGTCATGAGAAATTATAATTCATAGGGAGATAATTCAAAACCTAAACATTTTCTGATTTTGACATGCTAATTTGGAAATTATAAAGCAATTACTGGCAGCTGTCCTGTAGAATTGAAGCATTATCCTTTTTTATTTTCACCTAAAATGGCAAAATACATGTTAAAATGAATGAAAACTCCCTAATACATTTAAAAAGGTAAAGATTAATTTGGATAATGAATGGACTGAAATGAGTGATCAATTCATCTGATTTCCTTTATTTCAGATAATATAATTTGAAAACATTTTAAAACACCATTCTACACTATTCTGCCAGTTTTAAAAAGCACAAATGGATATCAATTTAGCGTCCACTTGATTTTAAAGATGGCGTAACTATCATTACTTCAAAAAACTATAAGAAAGCACAAAGGGCAACATTTTGAAGAAAAGCCATACACTGAATCTGGATGTAATGATAACAACACATGATTGCACCTTCCAAAAGAAACCGTGGCAAGCTAATAAACGTTCTATATCTAGTGAGTAGACAATCAAGACTAAATAGCTTGCCTGTATTCAGGAAAGAATGTCTGGGTCACTCTGACCTACATGTACTTAGATGTACCTAAGTAGATTCTTGATAAATCAACTCCTTAACCCAAAAAAGAGCAATATGAACAATTACATTTTAAACAGTTGCTAATTTGATCATAGATTGGGTATGTAATGGATTTTTATATGAAGAAATGATACATGTTTTATATCCTCAGTGTCCTCTGTGTGCTTTTGGCTAGTTCCCGGGAATTGAAATATTGTTTCGTTCAGTGCTATAGTGTCCGTGACCTATGACCTTATAAATAAAATGGCAACACTTCAATCAGGAAACATTGGTTAAAATGCAAATAAACAGTAATATTCTTGATTGATTGTGTTGAAAATAACAGAAATGGATGAACTTAATGACGAAGAAAACCTGTACCAGCTATGGATGCTTTACACAACCAAGGTAAGTATGAAAACTTACTTTATTTCGAAATATTTTCTAAAAAACATCACAAAAATGTTGTTGATTTTATGTGATGTCTGGGGACTAAGATCTGTTCATATTTGCCGTTTTGGGCTCTGTTTTGGTTAACCTGATTGAAACATCTTGTCATAACACTATTATAGTGTCATTCTTATCTTGCTTTATCATCCTAAAGCCCTATGCATGGGGAGTAAGTCACCCCTCCCTCTTATATTCTGTAGCCTATATTAGAAGTTTTTGGAGGGTGACTTACTCCCGTGGCCCTATTTTTGGAGCTGAATTGGTGGGTGAATTGGTCGTTAGGCTATTACATGTAGATCTGAGGTTTTTCAATTTAGCACCCTATTACAAACTGTAAACAAAATCACGGGAAATAAATATGGTGAAGGTTGCAACATGGGCTTTGTTGCAATTAAAAATCCTATTTAGGACCATTATAACATTGCTACTCATAATTTGTTCATGGGCACAGCTCTAGCTCTGCGAAACAGTTCCCAGTGTTCATTGGAGTCTTGTCTAGCTAGCCATTAGTTCAACGTCGACTCAATAACAGCTTTTTTATTTACTATTAGGAATCATCTTGGCCGTTATTGAGTTTAACCTTCTTACTATTCTTTCCTTAGTAGCAAGTTCTGGATCCATCGAAACCACTTTTCCCCGATAATATCCAACTGATACTTGACAATAATATAAAAACACATAACATCAAGCGATTTAACACAATATTATTGTGTTAAATGTTTATTTATACTCGTAAAATGAGGCTACATTTACCAATTTCTAAAATGACATGTCCATCATTGTGTCTGTTCGTCCCCGCTAAAATTAAACTTCTATCCTATCCTATTATCCTATTAGTATACTTTTCAAAATACCAGAATCTCCGGACTCTAAAAGCCTAGAAGGGGGGGGCTGAAACATGCACATTGAATGAAAAACATGTGCATAATACAAGACTTTGAGTGGTTAATTTGTCACATGACATTTTCATGATATGGTAATGCATCATTGAATATTTTTCCAGAAGTGAGAGAACATTTTACGTTTCGTAGTTCAATAATTCTTCAATATTTTAATCTCAATTTTAGAGCATCAACAAATCAACAGGTCTTACTTCATCAATAAACTAATGTTTAGTTGACAACTCATTTATGTTGAGATTTGTTTGGGCTTTCTTACTCTAGAACTGTTCTGCAGGGGCTCTTTTGAAGATATATAAATTCACATAATAAGACTCAATGCAATAATGTCCAGGCCTGGTGATATCTACTGGCACGCCTAACCATCGACAACATACAGTGACAAAATATCAGTTGTACACTGTAGCTGTACGTTGTCATGTTTGAAGCAAAAATTGTAATGTAGGTTTTATAAGATTTATCTAAGAAATATAATATTTCTAATTACGTTAATAGATTCTCAAGCAGTGCTAGAATTTATTCTAGACAATTCCACCCACATAATCGACCAGCTGGAAAATGTTCACATAGACATGGGTGGAATTACCTAGAAAAAACTCTGTTTGAGAATCTGTTAACGTAATTAAAATGTTAAAAGTCTTGCCAAGAGTATGCACATGAAATTAACATGAAATATTTCATCATGTTCCTTAGATAAAAACTTTTAAAACCTACATCAAAAAAATTTGCTTCAAACAGCTAAAGGGTACACTCGTATATTTTGTCACTGTACGTTGTCGATGATTAGGCGTGACTGGGGGCACTTTTCAATACCACTTTGGTAGATATCAAAAATATATGCATTAATGATACTTTGGTCAAAAATGGTGCTTTGTATAGAGAATATGTAATTGTACTAACTGACTCAAGTATCATTATCCCATCGAACGAAGTTCAGAAGGATATAGGGAACCCCTCCATCCGTCCGTCTGTACGTACGTAACGTCCGTTCTTCCTAGCAATAACTCAAATACCGTTAGCCTGATTTTGTTCATATTTTGAACACATATACCCTATGGGCGAGAAGCTCTGCTCGAAAGCCGATTTTCAAAATGGCTGCTCATTTAAAAATGGCCACCATTTTAGTGCCGATTTTACAGTTTAGGTGCAATATGTAAAACTGTAACAGCAATAGGTTTTAAATGTAAAAAATTATATTGGACATTACAGTTTAGGTGCAATATGTAAAACTGTAACAGCAATAGGTTTTAAATGTAAAAAATTATGAATACTATAAGCATGGCACACTGTCTAATGACACTTTTGGTAGAAGGTGGCCATTTTGAAAAATGGCCGCCATTTTAACGTTTTTTACTATAACTCGAAAAGTAGAAGAGCTATTTTGTTCATATTTGGTATGTGAATATGATAAGCATGGCACATTGTCTAATGACACTTTTGGTAGAAGGTGGCCATTTTGAAAAGTGGCTGCCATATTTGCTATATACTTTGTTTGTAAATATGCCAGCCATGGCTGTTCGATGGGATTTGCTACGCTTTGGCGTTGCTGTTGTCTAGTTAATATAGCAGAAGGTATGATTAAAGGGTTATATAAAGCTTCTTGTTTAAAGAATATGGCAGCTCCAATTACAAGTCTACTGGATCATTCTATTTTTTAGAAAATAGTGGAATTTGGTAAATTCCAGTTTATTGAAATCAATTTCCTGAAGATAAAATATATTGGTAGAGTTCAAGGGAATTATTGTGAATTTTATTCAAGGTAATTGCCTGTGATAACTTGATTTCTTTAAAGATCAATCTTTTTCTCACAATATCATCTTTGTTCTTGCTATTTGTGAAGTAGATTATAGGGGTAAGATGCCAGACCATTTGTTTTTGATATTTTTTGTTTTTATTTTGTTTATTTCAATATTCATATACATGTTATACAATTTTTGTTATTTTTTGTGAAAAAGTATTTTACATCAGTTTTTCTCCTCAACATGTCTGGATTTTTCATTCTTATAGTCTCCAACTTTTTTGTGGATGGTGTTGGTGTCTGTAACAGCAGTCGGTATCTGTAACAAATGGCAGGTAGTGCCATTTTGCATGCTTATGCCTGATCTACATATTTGTTCCTCTGCCTTCAGGTGAGCAGATAATTCTGCAATTATGGGCAGTCTCACTTCCAGTTTACTTTTGAAGATAAAGTGTTTCGTGTTTATATAGCATAAACAGATTGTATGATTTTCTGTCTGGAAGGTTGCCTATTAAGAAGTATTCTGATTCTGTGGCAGGGGTCTCTTTATTATCCCACCGAACGAAGTCTGTTCCTCCGTTTGTCCGTCTGTCTGTGCGATAACTCAAATACCGGTTTACGGATTTAGTTCAAATTTTATAGGCGTATGTCTTATGCGTTTAGGACCTCTGCTCAAGAAGGAATTTTCAATATTGCCACTCAATTCAGAATGGCCGCAATTTTGGTAAAAAATTTAACCGTTGATAACTAGTAGATAATACTAAATACTAGTAGATTTGGTTCAAATTTTTAATGCTGATTCCTAAAGACAAAGGAGCTTTGCTGAAGAAGACATTTTCAAAATGGCAGCCATTTGTTGTAAAAAATGTAACCTTTGATAATTCAAGTACCAGTGGATGGATTTGGCTCAAATTTCAAGAAGGAATTTTCGAGATGGCAGCTGAATTTCAAAATGGCCACCATTCTTCGTAACAGAATGTAATCTTTGTTAATTCAAATACCAGTTGATGGATTTGGTTCAAATTTTATATGCTGATGCCTAGAGACATGAGAGCTCCACTCAGGAAGACATTTTCAAGATGGCTTCCAATTTCAAAATGGCTGCCATTTTTCGTAAAAAAACTTGGTCTTTGATAACTCAAATACTAGTGGACGGATTTGGTTCAAACTTAATATGCTGATGCCTAGGGACAAAGGAGTTCTGTTTGAAAATAAATTTTTAAGATGACAGCTGAATTTCAAAATGGCTGCCATTTTTTGAGAAAATGTAATCTTTGATAACCCAAATACCAGTCAACAGCTTTAGTTCAAATTTTGTATGCTGATGCCAAGGGACAATGGAGCAATTGCGCAAGAAGAAATTTCCAAGATGGCATCTGAATTTCAAAATGTAAAAAAGAACACATAATCTTTGATAACTCATATACCAGTTGATGGAATTGGCTCAAAATAGATATGTTGATACCTCGATATAAGGGAGCTGAAATTTTCAAGATGACAAATATTTATCAAAAGATTTTTTGTTTGATGGGATCTGCTACTCCGTGGAGTTGCTGTTTTCTAGTTTATTTTGGTACAGCAATGGTAGATAATACAAATAATCCATGTTTCAAAGCATCAATATTATTTTCATCACACAAGCTACAGAATTCATTGTTATTGCCCATGACGTTCATTTGAAGTAATTGTTTGTTTAGATAAACTGCAAATGTGTTTTTATTTTGTATTGGAAATTGTTAAGTTTTATACTTGTTAATTTCTTAAACATATAATGATGTCCAATTTATTTCTTCCTGTTGTCTGTATAATATTACTACCAATTTCTTATTTCTTTTCTAATTTCTGGGCACCTTCTATGTTTTGCTATAAATATCTTGTGTCGTTTTCTTTGTTAGAAGCCATCATTGTCCCATCTACTTCATTGTTGTATTTTTCCTTTAGATTCTATTCCTATACATAATTTTATCATAGTCCAGAAATGATAAGCGATTAGGATTATATCTAGTCCATCTCAGTTTTTTGTTTTCATATAATCGATTTATGTACATGATTCCTTTTCTATCCATTCAACATCATGTATCGATTTTCATTCAGAATATTTGAATTGTCCCATTTAATCTATGTCTTGATGTTGTCAGCTTATCATGGAAGTATAAGCTAATTTCACACCATCATTTTTGCAGATCATTAATGCTGTCGATCTTGTTGAATGTTACGGTAGTTTGTGGTAATGTTAGTTTGTTATTGTTTGTTCATTCCTTTTATTCCATTCCAAGTCTCATGTGTAATAGCAAGCCATTTTAGTATATAAATTGTTCTAATTGTTATACTTTTCAATTGTCTTTGTATCAATTCCGACCAAGCTCATCCCACCGTCTTGAACAATACATGCACCATTCATCATAGAAGCATCATCAGATGCAAGAAACGCAATAAGTTTGGCAGTTTCCTCCGCAGTCCCAATCCTTTTGTCTGCAGGGAGGGGCACTTGCTTTGTTGATCTTTCATATTCAGCATCCTCTTCATCTTTAGTTTTAAACAATCCAGTTCTTGTCATTACTTTGGTTTTGACCCATCCTGGAGAGACGGCATTCACCCGTACCCCCTCTGAGCCGTACTCTATTCCTGCACATCTCGTGAACTGACTCACTCCAGCCTTTGCAATGCTGTAAAAAAGGACACCAACGGCATTAGGGCGTTCAGCATAAACAGAGGAAACATTTACAATATTTCCATGAGTCTTCTTCAATTCTGGAAAGCACATCTGCGACAAAAATATTGGAGTTTTCAGGTTAACATTTATGTGTAAATCAAAGCTTTCTTCTGTTCTGTCTGATTGAACACATCCAACATTATTCACAAGTACGTCAATCTTTCCAAATTCCTCAACTGCTGTTTGGAATATTTTCTTCAATAATCCAGTTTCGAGGACATCACCTTGTACCATTGGAAACTTGGCATTTTCAGCACCAAGCTGTTTACATTCATTCACAGTTTGTTCAAGTGTCTCAAGGTCCCTTCCATGGATCAGCACATTAGCTCCTTGTCTTGCAAACAACAATGCTGTTGCCCTACCAATTCCACTGTTAGAACCAGTCACAATAATACCTTTTCCAGAGAAATTCATCTTAATTTTTGAACTCTTCTTGACAGTAAATCTCTCCTTATATGTTTAGCTTCGTCTATAACTTGAAGAAAATCATGTATGAATATAGTAAGTGGATGCTTATTTGTGCCTGTTATCGTATAGGTCAATCTGACAGAAGAAGCTGATTTGTGCTTTTTATCGTACAAGTCAATCTGACATGGCTATGTTTGTTTAGGCTATAGATCACAATATAATTACTCTTTCTCAAAGTCCAAACTGGATCTAATATCACGCCTGGTGTTCAGAAGAAATGAACGGAGGGGGAGTAGCTGATTTTTGCAAGAAAACTCAAGAAATCTGGAAAATTAATTTTCAAGAGAAAGTTTACAATTGAATTGCTAAATGAATAGGCACACGACATGGGGAAATATGTTATTGTCTTCTAGAATTTTTTTGAACCGATAGGCTTTTAAGATATAAGGTCTATTTAAAAGGTGCAGCGTCATCAACATGCAAATGTCAATGCTTTTGCTATAAATCAAACAATGGGGGTCTACACGACCTGTTGTAAATACTTGTAAGTGATATTCACAAAAATGCATAATCAAATGTTATAAATAAATAATAGTTTAAATTGAACGGAGTGAATGGAGAGGGGGGGAGTGATGTGTCTATAAGACATGATAAGAGATGTAACTTGACTTTATTTCCAAATGTCCCTATTTCTAACTGAGCCACTGAGTTCACTTTTCAAATACACTAAAAGACTAACATATATTTTTATTATCTACAAAGAAACCCCATGGATGAATATTATTTTAGCTGATATTCCTCTTGAAACGTGGTGAATCTTAAAAGTCTATAAGTGGGACTCCCTTTTATAGAAGCTTTGAACTGAATTTACACTTCTTAATGCTGAAATTGAGAGTTTATCCATACGTTTTAAGAAAATAGGTATGTCAAAGAGGATGTTGAGCCAAATATTGACTCGATAGCTCAGAAAAAAGAAAACATTTCTAATTTTCTCTCTACAGTTCTTGTTGCCCCTTTAACATAGTGCCATGTTATTGCTGTTTATTTTGTCCAAAAAAATTAGACATTGTATATATCCAGATATGGTGTCTTAATGGAGTTCCCTATATTCTGTGAATTTGTGGTTTAATATATTCATATTTATCTTTTTGGTTTATTCCAGAATGACATCCAGTTCTTCAAGAAATACCTGAAGCAATTCCTAGAGGTCTACAAAGACTTGATTGACAAGGAGGGGACTCATTTGAACCAAGGGTGAGACTTTACTGAAACATTCCTTTAATTTTCTATCTATTTGATTTGATATTCATCAATTTCAAACTAGTATAAGATGTTATCCCAAATTGTCTAATAAATAGCTGCCATTGTATAGAATATTCTTGTAAATAGTTTCCTTGTTTAATGAATATTATTGTATATTAAATTCTTTGTATGGTAATTAATTAACAAACATGGTGAGGTCAGGGCTTCAGAAATCCATGATCCTTCGTATTCTTCTTCCAAAAGTCCCAGTCCAAAGCAAGAGGTCCTTCATTCTTGAAATCACTGATTTGTAATCAGAGTGGCCATGACCCTGGTATTTATAAGAAAAGTAATGTATTAAAAATCCAGTTTCTGGAAACATAGGAAAACAACAGACTTTTCCAAATTAACTAGGATTAATTTATGAAATTTTGGACTATGTTCCATATGCATATAGAGAATGGCTCCATCCATCTCTCTGTCCAACCATCTGTCTGTATTTCCATCCATCCAGGGAATAACTCAAAAACTGTTGGCCCACTAGAAAGCTGATTTCAGAAATGACCACCAGTTTAAAAATGACCCGTGCACGTTGTGTGATGGTTATCGGTAGAATGGGCAGGACTGCTAAACTGTAAACTTTTCTCACTTATCCAGAGGTTAGTTGAGACGTAGATTGTGCTAATGGCACTTTTTGTGTCTCCTTACTCATCATATAGTATAATATGCTTTGCTAAAATCGAACGCCTTAACGATGTGTTCTATTTGTGCATGTAGGTACACTGCAGAGGGTCCACATATAACACGACTACCAGATGGCTTGCTGCAAGTCATAACCAAGCAATTGGTTGGCTGTGGGGAACAATGTGTCCAGTTCTTTATTCCTGAAGCTCTGGAATATGCAAAGGACCTTACTAAGTGTCTGATAGTTATCTGCAGGTATGACATCATTGTGTTTAATATTGCAAAGTAAGGCTGAAAATGTAACAGATAATCAAGTTACGGTATACTGATTTAGAGACTACATAGATGGCACCAGGGGTATTATTTCTGAGGACAATCCCACCAGGACCAGTGCATTGTGGGATATAAGCTGCATGTATTTTTCTTTATGTTTAATTGCGAACAAAAAGTGATGAGTAATGTATTTAAAATATGTTATTTAATGAGAATGTTGAATAAATAGAAACATGGACCTCTATCATAAAGGCGCATGATAGAACCAAGCCCTGTGTCAAAATGGGACGGTACAAAAATAAGTATAGTTGTATTGTATTATATACCCAGCAATTTCCTTGTCTTGTAATCAAAAGATACAATGGGTCATATATCACACTTTCATTTATTACATTTATAGCATCATTCTAATCAAGCATATACTGTACATGTATTTATGTAAAACATCATTAAAACAATCTAAGCAAAGGGAAAACATGGAAATAAAGTTATACAATACATCACATGGGTGTAGCCAGGGAGGGTGAGATTGGTGCACCCCACCCCACCCCCACAAAAAAGAAAAATCAAAGGCCCCAAAATTTTGTAGGGCCTCAAAATTAGGTCTTTTTGGGCATAATTTGGCCTTTTATGGCCAATTTATCAAAAAATGGGCCTTGACTTTTTTCTCCAGACTCAAAATTTGGGCCCCCCTTGTTAATTTCTGGATCCACCACTGTAGAATGCACCATATACAGTGTAAATTTTTAAAAATTTCTTTCTCCCCTTTTTGGGGGCTCACTTCGCTTGCAGTGATGCAAACCCAAAAATTTGCACCCCACCTTGACAATTGCTGGCTACGCCCCTGCATCAACTATGTAACTATGACATGAAAGATGCCTTCGTTCTTACCGAAATAAAGGGCATCACAGGTTCAGCCTGTATCAGCAGAACTTGGGCAGTGGATGTCAAAGTGACATAATCTCAAAAACTTTGATGCAACATTTACAAAATCACTCAAGGAATCACTTTAAGGAACAGCACAGTAGGAAGTGAGATTTAGAGTGAAATATATTCTGGAAACATTCTTTTATAATCTATTTCCTATTTTTCAGCATATTCACCCCCTATCTCATCATTTATCCCCTGTTTATCTTTTTCAGAAATCTTGATAATGTTGCCTTGGTAGCGTCTTGTGCATATGTCAGCCATATTGTTACTATAGCAACAGTTGTCATGACTAAGGTAAGATTTTATCTATATTTGAGCCCAGTTAGGAAGAAGATAACTACTCACATATTTCAGATCACTTCTGCACATATGAAACTATTGAAAAGAACATATTAAATAAGTATATGCTGCATACCAGTGATTCAGATTATCACCAAATTTAAAAAGTTCATACCATTTGAAGTGTCCTTATTTTGAATTGTCAATATAATCACCAGAGAGGTGTTCACAATTCTGAGGTGTTTACAATAGAGAGGTGTCCACTGAGACCTTTGCTTTAAGCTTTACAGAAGGAATGACAAAAATATGTTAACAAGGTTGAGATGTTCAGAGGAGTTAAATGCTCACAAGGGTGAGGTGTTCAAAATGTTGAGGTGTTCACAAGGGAGAGGTGTTCACCAGGGTTAGGTGTTCACAAGGTTGAGGTGTTCAAAGGGAGAGGTGTTCACAAGGGTGAGGTGCTCAAAAGGGTGAGGTGTTCACAAGGGAGAGGTGTTCACCAGGGTTAGGTGTTCAAAAGGGTGAGGTGTTCACAAGGGAGAGGTGTTCACCAGGGTTAGGTGTTCACAAGGTTGAGGTGTTCACAAGGGAGAGGTGTTCACAAGGGTGAGGTGCTCAAAAGGGTGAGGTGTTCACAAGGGAGAGGTGTTCACCAGGGTTAGGTGTTCACAAGGTTGAGGTGTTCACAAGGGAGAGGTGTTCACAAGGTTGAGGTGCTCAAAAGGGTTAGGTGTTCCAAGGTGTAAGGTGTTCGAAATAGTGAGGTGTTCAAAATGTTGAGGTGTTCAAAAGGGTGAGGAGTTCACAAGCAATTTCATTTTGTGTCATTTTACTTTCAGCTGTATACCCAAGAGAACTCTGAAGAAGTGACAGATTTGACATGCTTCATTGAATATTCCCTGCATTTCTTGGAATGCATGTATGACCCATACTTTGTGTGGAGAAAAAGCTTAAGAGGGTAAGGCAGTTACAATGCAGCTAATGTAAAACACAATGTTGTTGCCAAAGCAAACATACTTATTCAGGTCTCAAAAACCTTATGTTGTTCCTAGACCTCATACCTAGGAAATCAAGAATTGTAATTTAAGAAGGGTTGAGTTATTGTCATATAAGAGGGTACAGGTCTTATTAACGATAAAGACCCAAAGAATATTACTCTTCAATTAACTAATATTTGTTTATTTTATAAATTTTCTTTCCAGTTGGAAAGTTGATAAGTGTCGCTTCAAGTACAAGCCTGCTCTATTGCATGTTGAGGTTGTGCCATTTTTCTATGGTAAGTGATTAATTTCTGAACCTATATTGATTGTAACTTATAGAAACTTGACATAATTCCAAACTTTGTCTAGAAAAAAAATAATGATATGTTTAGCTATAGTAATAAAGTTGTAGTAGGTATAGACATATTATCTTCTTTTAAAAAAATGTTAAACTAGCATCCACCTCCCCTCTGCCCAGTTGTAAAACAGAGAGAATGTGGAAAGCTTAAATGTTGTATATTTAATTGTAACTACAGCACTTTTCATTCCCTTGAATGTCAGTATTTTCAAAATTTACCCCCTCCCCTATCAAGATTTACTCCATGTTTTTTTTGTCACCAACACAAGTGGTGACATATTGTTATAGTCTCCAACATTTTTGTGGATGGTATTCAGCATTCAATGTCCAGTGGTTCGTGTTCAGTGTTCGGAGATCAGCATCTGTAACAAATGGCAGGCGGTGACATTTTGCATCCTAATGGCTTGTCTTAAACTGTCGTCAATTAGATACCATCCCTTTTATGTACTTATATGTTCCAGAGTGTTTCCAGTATACTAACCTTGACCTTGAACTTCAGCTTAGACTGTTCCATCTATTTGGTGCCATAATCAATGGATCTCATGTAAGACTTATTCAATAAACAAAAGATCGCTTATGTTAAAATAAAATTCTCATGTACATGTTATTGTGTCACACAAAAATCAGCTATATACATATAGCTACTAGTATTTTGTCACCGGCATTCAGTGTTGGCTGCTGTAACAAATGGTTACAATTTGGTAATTGTAACTGAGTGGTGATAATTTGTTACCTTAATTTTCAGATATGGTTCTTTTCTCAAATACCATACTAAATATTTAGCATTTTACTTTGAGTTCACAAGCATAAAGTTAATTTTAGCCATGCAATTTTTGTATGTGTGTGTGTGTGTGTGTGTGGACCTGTTGCTATGAGCTAGGTCGTAACTTATGTAGTTCTGTTATTTTGATATTGACTGTGGTATAATGAGGTATATGTTCAATTCCTGAACAGTAAATAAGCATTTCACATTAATTGATTTCACTGTACATGAATTTCAGACCAATGGGCTCCGTGCAATTTGCCCCGCCACTCTTGATGTTCTCCTTAAGGTGCTCATATACAATGACCCCAACAGACCAAGTAATGAACAGAGGCAGACATACAGTGACCTGAAGCAGTTGGTCCTGAGGAGTCTTGTACAGATGGTGCATGTTTTACACATGGCTAGTCCAGACCAGGTAAATAGAATACAGACACAGTGATTCTACTATTCAAGCAAATGGGTGTTGCACCCTTTGCAAAGTTATCATGTCAACCTGTTGAAAATCAAAAAATAATGTTATTTTCCAGAGGCAGGTTGAGGTTGGGGCAGTGTTAGAGGGCTACTTCCAAGCCTTAGTAAAGATACAGTCGGGAGAAGATGGGGAGAATAATATACAACTACAGCTGAAAATTATAAGTAGGCTTGATATTTTTATTTGACTTATCAGTGCTATATTACAGTCACCTTGTGCATATGGGCATGCTGGGAAAATTACTTTGTGACCATTTTGAATTTTCTGATAAAAAGTATGATATTGATCACTGTGTGCCTTGTTTGTAAATTTTTGTTTTTACTTCTTACTTCCATCATTCCTGCCATTTCAAATTGATATGTAGTCACATATTCGTTAAATCCCAGTCCATATAGCTTTACATTATACTATATGTTGATTATTACCACTGGCTTTCTCTTGAAACCCCATGTTATTGCTTACATCGGTGTCTACCCCTTTCATTTCTGATTCCACTCTTTTCCACTGTATATTGAATTTTAAAATGTGACACCATAACATTCTCTCTGGTTTCTTTATTACAGGGGGAATTGATGAAATGCTAGGCTGCAATGACAAAACTGCACTTCAGGTGATCTTTGTGGCTTCAGGGGCATTTGATATATTTGTAGACTGCCTTCACAAAACAATGGTGAGTTATAATTATGAGAGACTTTTTAGAGTCCAATTTGATTGTGTAACCCCAGTTTTAAATTTCCAACTGTTGTCATTAAGTCACCAAATCTGATCAAATTTGACATAGTTTCTCATCTTTTAGACCTTTATTTTATAAGAAGCATTAAGCCAGGTTAAATAATGTGGTGAGGCAAATGTAATAAGTGAAACTTTAGGCTTAATTAGGTGTATTTCTACCTTTGGACTTCATTTCTACAGTTTAGATTGAAAAAACATATTTCTAATTTATTTGAGATGATTTGTATTGTGAGCTCAATTGTTGAGTTTAATGTTCTACAACTCATATAGATGGCAGCTGTGTTGATCAGTTTCAAATGCTATAACATTATGCTTGGGATTTAGTTTAGGACGAAGGCCCCCCAGGAAGTGGGCGGAGCACTTCTTACTATTGAATTGGTTTTCTTTATTCATGTGACTTTTGGTTACGACTAAGCCCTGCCTTTATTAGCCTATATGGCAAGTCATCAACGCAACTATCAACTTGTCATTTGATGTGATTGTGATTTGAAGATATGACATATCACATCAACTATGATATCAGTCACATATTGCCCCATCAGCAACTAAAACAAATAATTTAAATGTCACACATCACTGTTGATTCTACATTTACCTGTGAATGTCACTAACATGTCACCCAACCAACAACAAAAAAATATTTAATTTTGTTCGTTGTCTTTCTCTGTGGTCTTTTATAACTAGTGGATCAGTTCACTCAACATATCGTATGGCCCTCGTAAATCTTAAGTGAAATTTTCACTTGATTATTACTCGTTGGATTTAAAAAAATTCCATGATCATATGACTATAAAATTGGAAAAACTGAATGTGAATAAAAATACATACATAGAATGATACACACAAGGATGGATCAAACGCAGGTTATATGGTATTCTCTTCATACTTAGGTGGTTCAAAAAGTTTCCAAATGCTCCCTGAACCAGTTCATAAGTCTCTTGCAAAGTCTTGCCATTTTGAACCATGCACTGTATCAGATTTCTATGCTTCCATTTCATCAATTTGGTTGGTGTGGAAACATCTGCCATTTTGAAAATTTTTGAAAAAAAATTCAAAATTTCCTCACTTTTCCATCTCAATTTTTCAACTGGGTTTTGAACAGTATACATCACAAAGAAACTTATCGTGTCACTTGTCTATTGTGATGTCATAGAGACAATTAGAAAAAGTTAAGAATTTGAAGAAAAATAGCCACCCAAAGACACTTACACCTGCTAATTGCCACTTTACAAAGAGTTTATTCAAGCAAGAAAACTATTTGGAAAAACGCAATTTCGGGTTGAACATGGCACCCACCACTCTGGTTACCATAGCAACCATATCTCAGGAACCAATCAAAATTGAGGTCAAAAATTTTACCATATAATGTATAAATATACAACACATATGTGTACCAAGTTTCATTGCAAAAGTCCTATTTTCCTTGAAGTTATGGCATCAACTGCAAAACTTTGAACCACCTAAGTAGTAACTGTATTTGAAAATATCAAACGCATGTTTTGTTTAAAGTATGCCTGCTTTGTAATTAATCTCTCTGATCAGTTGTTATCAAATTAATTGAACTAGACCTTCAACCTGACAATGGCTGTGATCAAACTGCACACTTTTGCATTATTTATTGTTTTTTCTAAACAGAGCAAAAATTAATTAGTGTTAATCAAAGTTATCATCATGAATATTGACAAATATGTCTGGGAAATCAAGTTAAAGTCACAAGGCTGTATTGGCTGATTAACTGGTGGAATATGTTTTGTAAGCGTACATGTAGGCACATAGTATAGCTAAGAAGCATAAAAATGAAGATATTTATCTCAACCTTTGTCGTTTTCTGTATGGCTCCCACCTGTGTTGCAATGGATTTATTCAGTATGGACATGAATTCACTGGTGACAACAAGCATAATCAACAATGCGATTGATTTATCCAAAGTAGCTACAGATGCAAATGGAAATATTGGAATTCATGTTCTGAATACCCTAAAGGAGCACATCAGAGATAACGTATGCCGTGTACCAGTCAAACTCAAATGTCCAAATAAGGGCAAAAACTGTAACGACAAATTAAGCAATATCCATGGGTATTGCTGTATCCTTATAAGTGCTATAAATAGCACGGAATCTTCTGATGTTTCCGCACTTTGCATTACCGACTGTGGGACTGTTCAAAAAGAGTTGATATCGACAGATTTTTGCAGCAATGATAGTGTAGATGGATTGTTAGAAGAAAGACCAATGAAGATTGAATACGTCTGTAACAATAAGAAGAAAATGAGGAGATCCAAGCCGAACAAGTGTGCACCGACTTTTTATCGAAAACTCTCTTTCAAGAGTTGCTGTCAGCTTCGCTTACGAAATAGTCCTGTCATCATTTGTACACAAAACTGTTGGCTTTGAGATTACGAATTTAGATTTTGACTTTGGAAAAATATGTGGATAATGTTAACTTTGAACAGTCATGATTAAATGCTTTGCAAAGTAATTTTGGAACATTCTTGGATAAATGAATAACTTTGAAAGGTCATTAGAGAGACTTAAATCAAAAAATAAACTGATTTATTTCAGATGTCACATTTGGGTTCAGATCAAATTTAGAAAATAAAGAAATAGTGATTTAAAAAGATGATTTTTGTATTCTGAAGCTAAGTTCATATCAAGGTCAGTCTTCAATTTTTAGATTACTTTTTATTTTTTCCCATTATTAATTTTACCCTATTCAGAATTAGAAAACAGCTGATATTGATACTTATATTAATCTGAAAATTTTATTTTGTAATCATTGAATAAGAAAGTGAATGTTAATAAATTGTTCAGGTGTTAAAACCACGTCTTCCTGATGGAGGTGTATCTTTAAGCTGACATGATCCTACAAGTTGGCAGTACCTGGATTTCTTCATGCAGTCCCACCATCCTTTGTCTAGGTTCCATGTACACATAGGCTCACCTGAAATGTTCGAAGGATTAGATAGAGAAACCAACAAATGGGAGAAAGTCTACACAGCCTTTAATACTTACACCCCTTCAAGTTTCCTAATTTGATTAAAAAACAGAAATGAAAATATATTTTATAATATCACCCTTAGTATATGCAGCTACCGATAATATACCAGGCAGGTACAACAGTGATACAATTTGTTATTTTTGAACTTTAATTACCCATAACAAGCAACATATCTACTTTTTCGTATCAATTTTGAAATCTATGATATCTTTTAATGTTTGGAAGCTCTCCAAATTATTTTAAGTTTTTAGACAAATTAAAAAAGGGAAAAATGCATATTTTAAGAGTTTCAACTTTGTCTAAAAATTGACTAAAATTTGGGGAGATTCTAAAAACTTCCAAACATTCCTGAAATACTATACCTCCATGTCCCTCACAAGCTCTCTGACACACAGCCTGTAGATTATAGCAGGGGTAACTACCAAAGGCTGGCAGGTAGCAATCTCCTGGTCCACACTCATCATCAAACCTACAGATCTACAATACAGAATATATGGGTCCAACTCTGTGGTGGGATAAAGTACTGTTAATTGATAGAATATCATTAAAGGGGCTGATCCAAGTGCAGTGTTTTCTATATAGTTTCTATATATTTCCCCAGGGAATACACATGTCTCCCAAGCTGTGTTATATATATATTAAATGTTTCAGTATTTGAGATTTAAGATTTATGCAATTCCCCCAAATCAAATGACAAATGACACTTGGATGATTAGCCGAGGCATGATTAATCGAGACATCATGGCTTTAAAGGCACTTGAATATTTAACCTAGACTTAAAGACACTTAGATGTTTAAACCTGACTTATAGGCACTCAAATTTTAATCCAGAATTAAAGGCATTTGAATGTTTAACCTAGACTTAAAGGCACTCAAATCTTTAATCCAGAATTAAAGGCACTTGAATGTTAATCTTGACTTAAAGTTACTCATTAGTTCCCCATTTCATACCTTGCATCCACAGTTATCTCTGTATGTCTTCCTGAAGCCTTTAATGATAGCTGAAGATACTTGGCTGTAGAGGACATTCAACCCACATACATCAATCATGGGTTTGTCATCTTTAATTTTACCTGTATAAAGAACTAGGTCAGTTAAACAATTTATACCAAAATCACTCAATATTCGAATGAATAAAGTATATTTTGGAACTTTGCAGGGGGCATTTAAGAAAATTGATGTGAATCTGTACAAGGTTACCTGTGAGAATGTATTCTTTATTCTTAGCCAATGATGTCAAGCCACACAAAGCTTCATTAGGGCCTGTGTAGATCTCTTTTGTCTTTCCTTTCCATCCAAGACCCTTTAAAGAGTAATAAACATGTAAGGTACTGTTGCCTTTCATTTCCATCCAAGACCCTTTAAAGAGTAATAAACATGTAAGGTACCATATATATTGCCTTATATGCATAGTATCATTCTGATACTCATCACATTTCCTTTCTTACCAAGCAAAAATTTCAAAATGATTTGATTTCCCAGAAAATAAAACTATTTTGTAATTTTTTCTGCATTTCCATCAAAAATATTCTTGAGATCTATGGCTTTTTAAAGAAGTTTGAGCAAAATAGAGAATGTGGATGTTTTAGCCCACTCTGTATAATGTACAGTAACTTTATATCCTACCTTGTAATCTACACTAACATTGACTGTGAACACAAGGTATCCCCTGTTTATATCAATAGGATTTGTTTCCCTGTGACTCAGGACCTTAGCCTTTATAGCTGAAATAGAAATTTTTCTTCTTACTGTTTTGCTTTGTTTTCGGGCATGAAAATATTATATCCGAAAAATCTGAAAAAGGTATGGTATTGTCCTTGGCTCCTTGGCATATGGTATGTGGAAGATTGGTCTAAGTGCGTGTCCACATCTTAGTTTTCTTGTCATACAGCCTGCTTGAGAGATTGATCTAAAATCTTAGAGGATGTTTAAGGTATGACAGTATAGAGTTGAACAGTGCATTCTGGGTAAATTAAGGCAAAGTGATTTTTGATTTCTGCGTACAATATTGTTAATCATGAGGTAAAAGTTTATAAAGTTTTCCTACTGAAAATTTCCTTTTATAAATCGATGTACCAAAAATGGAAATGCCACCAACTCCCTGTAGACATACATTGATACACTGCCCTGCAATCTCTCCATAAGATTGACATTCTGATGTCCTTTTTGGCATCAGTTATCAAAGCTGTTCATGTTTTGCGATTGAAAAATCATCAAAGTCACAAAAGACTAGTCTCGGTTTGGAGAAAGAAGTTCATTAGTCTACTGCATGTTACATCTGCTTTAGACAATTTTGATCATTATTTTTTCATCTGGTAGATTAAAATGTCCTCTTTTGAATATTCATAATATACCGAGACTTGTTCTTTCTGAACTTTTGTAATAAGCAACAAAAAATTTAATCATTAAAAAAAAATTTAAACATAATAAGCTTTGATATATTATCTATTGATATATTATCCATTGTAAAGTTGATTTTCTAAATTGATATTTTGGATTTAAATTTAGGTCAGCTTAATTACAAAACACCTACTGAGGTCTGAAAAAGTGAAGTTTTCAAGGTCGAAAGTCAAGGTCATTAAACTAGGTCACAAATGATGTTATCCAAGTTTCTCAAAGTTTGAGACTACAAATCAATTCTTGTCATCAAAATTCCAAGAAAACCGCTAACCTGTTCAACTTGAAATTTTTACACATGCAATAGCAGACTAGTGCCAAGATCTGATTAGGTTAAGGGCATGCTGGGTAAACTACGTGGTGGCCATTTTGAATTTTTCAACAAATCTTGTCATCAAAATCCCTGGAAAACCACTTATCCGTTCAACTTGAAATTTTTACAGATGCAAGAACAGACTATTGCCAAGATCGGATTAGGTTTTGGGTATGCTGGCTGAATTACATGGTGGCCATTTTGAATTTTTCAATTTGAGGGCCATGTTGAATTTTTCAACTTGCTCCAAATTGACCAATTATTTTTTTAAAAACATCTACAAGTTCTCAGAAGTTCAAATCTGACCTTAGATTTCAGATTTGACCTTTCGTTGACCTTCAGTGGCCTTGAAAAGGTCAAAAATTTGATTTTCTATTAAATTGATATTTTGGATTTAAATTTAGGTCAGCTAATTACAAAATTTTCAAGGTCGAAGGTCATCAAATTAGGTCACAAACAATGTTATCTAAATTTTCCCAAAGTTCAAGACTACAAATAAATTCTTGTCATCAAAATTGCAGGAAAACCGCTAACCTTGTCAACTTGAAATGTTTACAGATGCAAGAGCAGACTAGTGCCATGGTCTGATTAGATTTTGGCCATGCTGGGTAAATTGCATGGTGGCCAGTTTGCTCTTCAAAGTGCGATATTTATCACTGTGTGTCTTGTTGAGATCAGTTATCAAAGCTGTTCATGTTTTGCGATTAAAAAAAATCATCAAAGTCATAAAAGACTAGTCTCGGTTTGGAGAAAGAAGTTCATTAGTCTACTGCATGTTACGCCTGCTTTGGACAATTTATATTTTTTTTCATCTGGTAGATTTAAATGTCCTCTTTTGAATATTCATAATATACCGAGACTTGTTCTTTCTGAACTTTTGTAATAAGCAACAAAAAATTTAATCATTAAAAAAAAATTTAAACATAATAAGCTTTGATATATTATCTATTGATATATTATCCATTGTAAAGTTCCCAAACTCATGGAGTATACATACAACTCACCAAAATCAGCATACAACTCACCAAAATCAGCTGTACAATATTCTTCTTGGGGGTGGCTCCATAAACAGCTACAACTCTGTACAATTGAGATGCAAAAACTGGAAAGCACGATAAACATGTACATCACCATAACGGATCTTGTGGTAAATATTTCAGCCTTGTGATATATTCTTCAGATAGAATAGTGATTTTTTATTATTTATTTATTTGTGTATAAATTAATTGTTTCATGTAATGATTATCCTTGGTGTTTGTCTGATGAGCAGTTCATTGAAAATAATTTAGATATAAAATTGTGAAAAAGTCAAATAGATCAAACTTGTATAATTGTGTTCCTTATTTTAATCCGTATAAATGTAATAAATTAGACAACCTTTGATAAATGAGAGAAATAGCCAGATAACTAGCAGAGTTATTAGTTGAATACCTTCAAAGAAATTGCCATGGTGAAGCATTTTTCATTTCTTTTCTCTGTGAAATTCAACTTTTTCGATTTTCTGGCATCCTTATATCATCTAAGAGATAACAACATTGCCTGGCTGTTTACTTTTTCCATGCTTATTCCACTATTTTTCACTTTGTTGCAAAAATTGACCATCATGGATTTTTTCTCATGCGTAAGCTCACAGATTCAATGATAGATGTATTAATTTACTAATTGTCAATTTAAGGATGTAAAAACACAATAGGGTTTTTATAATAAGAAATGCAAAAGATGCAGACCCATGTAAAGGTTGAAATCATATTGAGTAACTGTCATAGAAACCATTTTAACTTTCATATTACTGTATTCTCTGTAATTAGCGCCCAGGGTAATAGACTGATTAATATTTAAACAAATCCAAAATAGCTCTAATTGCATTAACTTTGGAGTTATAATGGTTAAATAATTGGTGGTTGTTAACTAAGTCCAAGTAAGTTGAGAAATACCATTGAAATAGTATTTGTGATGTTTAAGAAGATACAAATATATATTAGTAAATTAGAAGCCTTCTAAATTAGCACTAATACCCCTAGAACAGGCCAGGCAAGGTGGTAATAATTAGAGATGTCATACCTACCCGAAGTTGACCAGAAACTCGGGTCAGAAGGCTTGGCCCGACCCGCCAACAACCACTTACCGATTTCGGGCCGGGTCTGAACACTCAGGAACATCATAAATGATCGTAAAATGTAGGTAAAATGCTTTATATCAAATTCATTTTCTGTTTTCTTCTGACCCGACCCGAAATTACCCGACCAGCAAACTTTTTTTCTGACCTGAACTGACCCGAAAAATGTCTGACCCGTGACACCTCTAGTAATAATATGCATATTAATACATTATATATTAGACTAAATGGTTGGGAAGTCTGTATCTTTAATTCCTAAAAGCACTTTTTTCACTGTCAAAGCAAATAGAAATAATTAGTCTAACTAGAAAGCATCATATACAATGTTACTTATTAATAATCTTGAACTATTTATTACAAATGGAAATGGCTATTGTTATTAACTAAATAAAAAAAACATGATAATTTATTGGTCAATTGTTTTAGTCATACTAGTTGTTATAATTATAACTGATTCATTACATTAGTTATTTCATCAGAGTATTCACTTATTTAAAGTAGAAATGCCTGATAACAGGCAGTGTTCACATCAAATACATGAAAAGCCTTAACACTATGTTTTGACCTAATTAAGAATTAAAAATCCAGGTACAACTCTTTCTTTGTTAAAATAAGATGAACAATTCAATTTATATTATAATGGATTTGTTGCCACACAGATTCATTACGACACTGTTATTTCATTGAATTATAGGTTATTTATTGGCATACCTCTTCTGTTGTCATTTGAATGTGGGGGGGGGCTCAAGGTGACTTTGACCTCTACATGAAAAAGATATTTCACTTCGTAAAATGAAACTGATAATGTGTCACATCTAGTGGCTGTTATTGCAGCAGCATGGCAAAGATTACCCAGGATGTTATTATGTTAAATTATTGTGGTTAAAGAAATGTTTATTGTCCTCATTTGAGATCAAGTCATAATTTAATATTCACTTTTTTTCTTCACTTTTGTTACTAAACCGCAAGTGCCAATTTTTGATTTACCAATAACAATAACGAGGAACTGAGATCACATTTTATGTCACCTCACCAAGTGGTGACATGTTGTTATAGTCTCCAACTTTTTTTGTGGATGATGTTTGGCAGTTGTTATTTGGCAAGTTATCCATACTATACAAGAACATACCTTGACCTAACTCGAGGCCATGACCTAACTCGAGGAAAAAATTCTCCTCCAGAATAGGTACTAAGCAGACCTCAACATACCGTGAGCATTTAGGAATCCACATTTAGCTGGTCATAACATCAAGCTTGCTAATACATGTACATATAGGCCCGTGCATCAGCCATGATTCTGCTGAGCAAACTCACAGTCACAGTCTGGTTAATTCCATGCGACCAGAACCTCTGTTATGATGTTACAGGCATTCAACATCATAGTCTTTATATTTCCAGCTTGCTGGTGGTGAGGCACAAGACCTGGCTATTTCTATCATACGTGTCATGGGGTCTGCTATGCAAGGCTCAGATACTGCCAAGGTAAGATGCTTTTTTGCATCCTTGTTGAATGATGTCATCGGTCTTGTAATAAGTAGGGCAATTGACGCTACCCTAAAACCCAGTGAAATTAAGTGAACACATAATGAAATCCAATCCTCTCTAAGAAGGTTGAATATAATGCTTACAGCCATTTACAGCCACTCTTATGTTGAATTCCACCAGAAGTAAACTCCACATATACATGTAAATGTGCCCATGCAAGGGATGTTTTTTTATCAGAATTCATTTCTAAAATATCACGAATCATTTTCTTGCATTGTATCTGTTATTAGTTATGCTAATTGCTTGTTTATATACAGGAACAATTCAAGGAGAAAATTGGGTACAGTAAATTCACTGATGCACTTAAAAGTCTCGGACAGCCATCTCAAGATCTCCTGAAATCCCTCTTGGATTTAATCACTGAAGAAACTTTTGACACTTCGTCCATTGCAACTGTTCATAATGCTCAAGCAGCCCTGATGCTCATCCAATGGCTCCCAGATATCCAGTCACATGATCTCCAAATATGGTTAACCGAGTGTTTGAAAGTTGTGTGCTCGTCAGGGAATCATAATCGAATGTATTGCTGTAATGAAGGTATGGTGACGGCCATTTTGAAGATTTTGAAGAGAGAGGCACAGATCAACACTCAAGCTGTAGGTAGGTGAAAAACTGATACATGGTGACAGAAAAATCAATGACTGATGTTTAAAAAAATCACATTTTTTCATCACATCAAAAATTAACTTTTGAATGGCCATCTTGATTTTTGGTTGCCATTTTGGAAGTTTTCAGTAAATCTAGTAGTGTGATTTCATTCACATCCTGTGCCTTGTTCAAATAAATCTATCATCTGTTATTAAGAAGGTGGATAGCTCTCCATTGTTTGATAATTGTGCATTCATTCTAGGTAACCTTATCAGCCTGCTAGAGAGCTTGGGGAGCCTCTCAATATCTGCTTCAGAGCTAAAGCTGCTTCTAGGCCTACTGAAGATCAACGAAGAGGGAAAACAGATGCCATATTGCGGCAGATTGATGAGGGCAATGAGCACTATGGCCAGAAGGACAGGGAAAGATGGGGCACTTCATTATTTTGATTTTGTACAAACAAGCAGTGTAAGTGAAAAATATTTAGCTGTATTCATATTCCCTTAAAAATCACTTTCCTCATAATAGGTTCAACTTTGAATTCTGGGTTATTTTCTCCTTTTAATTCACTCATTCTCCTTGACAGGGTATAGCTGTCCCAGGGATCAGAAAGTGGCCTGGAGGAGGTTTCACCTTCCATAGTTGGATCTGCTTGGAGAAAAACATAGAGAACCCAACATCAGCCCTAGTCCGCAGGCAGCTTTACAGGTAAATAAGTTTTCAGTTTGTTTTGTTATTTTATACACTCTAGTGACTAATGTGTCATTGGTATGATCTTAAAGTCAGAAAAAGACATATATAGATCACTTAGAATTAAAGATCATATATTTATGTATTTTATTGACAACCACGTCGGTTTCTCTGACATGGGTCAATATCCAGGATTTAATGTGTTTTGTAGACATACATAGACATCACTGAAATATAAATGTATAAGAGTATGTTCATACAAATTCTGGTTTGTATAGCTGTGTTTATTGACTGCGAGAAATCAGATTCTTCTTTTTCTGTATTTCAGCTTTAGTAGTAGTAATGGTGGGGGTCTTGAGGGATTCTTTACAATAGATGGCGTATTGGTGATAGCAGTCACAATAAAGAAAGAATACAATGCTGTAATGTTATCGGATGTCAACCTAGCAGACGAACAGTGGGTAAGTTGACTTTGAGAAATTGTCGTGATCTCCATCTTTAAGTGGATTCAGCAAGGAATGGAGTAAACAGGCATGTAGCTATTATTTAGGAATGCAAGAAAATCAGATACTTTATTCAAATTTCATTGATAATATGAGCTGTGGAGTGAAAATACATTTGTGTATTGGTAACATAATTCTGTCACACTACAATGCTGTTTCAAAATTAACTTGATAACTCCATATTGGGTTTGTTAATTGTGTTTTCTGTCTAGTTTATTGTGTTTTTGCAGCATTGTGTTGACATAGTCCATGCAGGGTCCAGAAGACCATTTGGACAGAGTCAGTTGTCCGTGTTCATAGATGGGAAGATGAAACTCACCACTCCATTTAAGATGCCTTCACTCACAGAGGTAAGAAATAATAAACATCACAATACTAGGTAGAAACACATATTTGTATTATCTTACTGTCTAAAGATTATTTTACCAATCACTTGTGCGACAATTATTTGATTTTGTGAACTACATTTAGTTGTATTATTAATTAAAGTGCAATTTACAATATATCAAGTGTAATTGTAATTTATTATGCTTTGATGTAAAAGTACAAACATTGTCGTTTCATATTGTAGCCATTTGCATCATGTCGTATTGGATCACCTGGTCTTCAACCCTGGACCAAAGAGGACTTCACAAATACTCCAGAATCTAAATCCAGATTATCAAATGTCAAATTCTCCCTGCCTGTATTGAGTAAATCATCTGCGGGGCTTACACCTTTGACAACAGCAGCTGGGACCCAAGATGAAGTGTGGGGTTTACCTGTTTCACTTCATGGGCAGCTTGGGTCTGTTTGTGTGTTTCATGAAGCAGTCACTCCTGCTCAATCAAAGGGATTGTACATAAAAGGTAAATTGTATATTCTATTTTTTTTTAGTAAATTCAACTCGCCTCTAAAATTCTAGCCTAACACAAACATTAAATTTTTATTACTTCATTTATTGTGAACTATTAAATAGAAAAAAATCAGTTTCATCTAGTCTTGTTATTGTCCTTGCGACAAATTTTGAAACATCCCTCCACAAGGAGAGAAGATTCAGGAAAGGAGTAGATATGGGAGGGGGGGGTCGAGTGGTGTGATGCAAGACTTTGATGCAACCCATTCAAGAGAATACTGAATCTTGAATTGAGATACCTAGATATACATGTATTTGTAATTATTTTTTTACATTGGGTAAGAATATGTCAGGTCATGACATCTAAGGAGTCAATAAAAGATATATACATGTATATACATGAAGAAATATAGTTGGTATTATAAAGATACATGTATAAAGAAAATAATTTTTATTTGTTTTTGTAGGTGCCAACAGCCTAAACCTATTCCAATCGGAAGACAGCGCCATTCTAGAATTACCTGCAAAGTTGTTATTACACTACAATGCAAAGGTAGGTTTTGCTTTGTTTTATGATCCCCCTGTGCTGTTGATTTTTATTTTTTATTTTAAATGTCCCACTTTTGGCCTTTATGCTTTTGAATATTTTAAATCTTGACATGCCCTTAAAGGGCTGATAGCTATAATTCTTACCAAACCTATTTTTAATTCATAAATGTTATGTAATTATGTTTTGTAATTTCTGAAATCATCCAAGCTTGAAAGACATTAGGCATCAACAATCCTGCACTTTTCAAAGTGCGATATAGAAATATTCTTGTAGGAAGTGAATTATTTGCCTTTTAAAATGGAAAAGTTTAAATAACAAGTTGTTAATTCAATTTGGAACTTGTCATTCTGCTTACAAGGTCAGGATTATTGATGGTGCAAAAACGAATTATTATGAAACAATACACTGCCCTTTTAAATTTATATCTGGATTATGAGTTTCATTATTTTAGGCTTGCAAGGAGAACTTTGTAGTGGATCTATCCCATAATGACAACCATGGGAGGCTGAAAGGCCGCCACTGTGTGACAAGGGACATTAAGGTATTATACGCTTCAATTCTTTATATGCTTTCATTTATTCCACTATGAGTACCAGAGCCTTAGCTAGTACATGTACATCAAGCTCTGAAGAGGAGCTGAGTAAGTTAATTGTAACTTATAAATAACTTAATTTTGAATACCAATGAAAAAACATAGATATTGTAATTTTTTGATTGTAAATTTCACATTCTAAGCTGTCTAGGAAGGAATATGATGATTAAAACTTGATGTTCCAATTTATTTCTTTTATCCACATAAAGAGAAACTATTCATCAAATTGTAATGATTCATGATTCCAGGATGTGATCAACTGTGTAGGGGGTTTGCAAGTGCTTTTCCCGCTGGTGGAACAAGTGAACAGCCTCCCTGCATGCCAGTTATCTAAAGAGTTGATTCCAGTGCGTCCCATATCTCCGCCACATTCTGAGGATGCCATTGGTGATTGGGTAGTTGTACCCAGCAGCTCATATGCAGGTACTTCAAAATATCATTTTATCACACTAAAAAAGACAGAGATTGTCAAACAATGCTCTGGTAATTTCCACCATTGTTCCCCAGCTCATACTTTTCCCTCATTTTGGAGGAAATTTCACTCATGATGTAGGCCTACTGTTTGGTGCCTTTTCGTTTACCACAAATCAAATTCAATCATCCGACCCCAACCTGTATTCATTTGTATGTGTTTAGATTCCAAGTTGGAGCAGAACCAAGTGTCTGGGATATTAACACTCTTAAGACACATGCTACAAAGCAGTCCAGTCAACCAGGACAACATGGTACGCACAAATGCAATGGCAACCATTGGAGCTCTTTTACAGAAGGTGAGTTGGCAGAACATGGACCAATTAGAGAGTGGGGAATATGACAATCGAATGATATGATAATTTCACATATCGAACAGAACATGTCAAGTCATATTTTGGATGTAATTTCTGATATGTTATTTTATAACAAGATTGCTATGTTCCAATACCTGTAGAAAACCCTGTACATTTTCAACTTGCAGGTTGACAGTGTACATATTGATGTGAATGTATTGATGGCTGTCCAGTTAATAGTAGAGTCCATAGCAGTGTCAAACAGGGCCTTGCTACACCATATATACCAGTATCTACTCTTCGACTTCAGGATCTGGAGCCACAGTGAATTTCCAGTCAGAATAGGTAAAAATATGACAGAATTTCCGCTGATTTTAAAACATGTTATTCAAGTAAGTTGCAGTTTGCCCAATTGATGGAGTGGGTCATAGGTTTTTTGGTATTTTTGGGTAAGTATAAGTTATGGTAGATAAGTTCTGAAAAGAATCTATACACATCACCCATATTGATATTCTACGGAGGGTTGTGAAAGTTCACCATGTGTTTACTTATGTCAATTTATTGACCTGTTATTGTAGGTTTCAGCTGATTTATATTTGAATGCATTTTATGACTTAAATAGTTTGCCATATAAAAAGCAAGACTTCTACATTTGTTATATTTTGTAGGTCACATTCAGTACCTCTCTACCATTATCAAAGATGATAAAAAGTTCTTCCGTAAAAAGTTTGGTGTGCAGTATATGCTAGATGTGATACGAACATATTACAGGTATACATTGATGTCCCTTTGTGATTAAAGATGATATCCACTGGAAATCTATCCCCTTAATATATTTTCAAAACTATTCTGTGTCCATTTTGAAGAATACAAATTGATGCCTTTTAATTGAATTTGATCTACAATATGAAGTGATGCAATTGAAGTGTCACTTTATCCAATTCAAAATAAAATACATAGTACTGTTCATGAAACATGTACAGTAAAGCCTGTCTTAGTAAACACCTCTCTCTAGTGAACACCTGTGTCTTGTGAACACCTCTCAGCGCATACTCCAATGTGTTATGTGTAAATTGCCTCTCTGTAGTGAACACCTAACTATAGTGAACACATTTTTGTGACTCTATATGTGTTCACTGTTCAAGTTTTACTGTAAATGAATGTACACCTTGAGGATACAGGTCAGGTCAGGTAAGAACAATGGCTCAAACAATATGACATTGCCGAATTTTCTTTAAAAATTCAATAAAAACCTAATTTACTTGCATTTCCAAAGAATACTGTTCTTAAACAGCAGGCCTTTTAATTGTATTGTACTTGTCCAAGAGAGTCGATTGGTATTATTTTTCATGTTTATGTAAACTTGAAATGTAAAGAATCTATAGTACTATTTTTTAACATAAATACCAAGCTTTTTAACTTGATTAAAGTAGTTTTTTATAATTTGTATTTTAATCCACTTACTTATTTCACATTGTAAAACATCACCTTTATTTTTAGTTCGATTGAGGAAAGTGATCTCTCACAAGAAGATGCTAAGGCAATTAGAGTGTCTCTACTTGGCCTTGTGAAGTACTACATATTCAAAGAGATCACATTTGAAGAACTCAGTCAGATCATTGCCTTCCTAACTGCAGTGAAACAGGAGAATCTGGTATGTAGTTTAGCATTTTACAATCATACATCATTTCACTTTTCTTAAAATTGAAGAAATTTGAGCCAGATGGGAATGAAAATGCATATGTTTGTCTGTCCATCTGTCTGTCTAGGTGCCATCGTCATAAGTACAAGTTAAAACTGCTATTCATATTAAGTTGTATGTACATCACACTACTATACCCCCATACTGTATCCTGTATTCCTTTAAAAGAAGTACAGGCTACAGGGAAGTTGCAAATGGAGGACGTTTGTTTATTTCCATGGTTCTGAATGTATACTAGATTTTACACATATTCCAAGTGTTCTACTATACATTGTATAGATTCATCGAGCAGTTTGCAACGTATTATTACCAGAAAAGCCCAATGGACAAAGATAGAGAATACCCGCTCCATTTGCAACTTAACCGTACCCTGTATCATTTTTATTTTTAAATGTGGTCACGTGGTAGGGTAGTGTGTACATTCCTTTCTCTAAAACTAGAAAAGCCAAAATATTCTGTTTGACCTTTCGTTGTCATTTCCCAAGAAAAGGATAGGTATCGATATGGTGAACTGAATTCAACAATGTTTTTCTCTTAGACCAATTATTGAAAACATTCTGTAAAAAAACGTGGTCCTTTATGTAATGTTGACTGATTGACAACAATTTAATGGAAAAATTATTCAGAAATATTTTATATACAGTAACTGTTTTTGTTAACTTTTTTTTTAGTGCAATTGTTTTTGCCCCTATTCTACCAATTCTTGAGAATGAAATAGAATGTCTTTCCGAACCTTGTTGGTACAAAATAGCATATACAACATGTTTTTAGACCTCTCAATATTATTTAGTTATACAAAGGAATTAAGTGATTGATTTTGCTGTGCTAACTTTATTATCGTCCATCAAAATAAAACAAATTCCAATTGTTTTCTGAATGAAATATTATAAGTATTAAATGCATGTTGGCTTCCATTTTTCATATGAAAAAATGACAATTTATTCTTAAAGATAGATTAGTTCTAAACACTGATTTACTTTGAAGAGTGTGTTTATTTTGAATACTTCAAATATCGTTCAGTAAATTGTATCGTCAAATTGCATGTTCAAAGAGCTGTAAGAATATTATAATCCTATTTTCCCTAAGTCCATGTACCGAAGTAGTTTCTCAAGAACATATTCAATTCAAACTTTTATCATATGAAAAAATTAACAATTTGATGTTTTTATGTTTGCAGTATGTTATCCAATTATAATTTATTTGTTTTTCTGTATATACTGTATATGTAGTTAATATAACTATATGTAGAACTGGATATAATAATCCCAGCCACCAGTTAAAGTAGATAAAATATTAAAATTTCAGAAGCATCTTTTTCTAAAGTCATGCCAATGTTTCTGTCATAATCCTTATTTTGTCATCGGAATGTTTTTAGATGATTAATTATATTTTGAAGTTATCGATATTTGAGAAGTTATTTAAATGGAGATGTAACATGTAATTCCAAATTCATTGGAAATTCAAAATTATTGCCAAATAACCTTAAAATCAAAGTATTATAAAAAAGCTTCAAATGGCACTTTAGAATTCTCATTTGAGAAGCACATGTTAACAACTTTTATAGTCTGCTCCTTGTATTTTACGGCAATAAGAGTTACAATTAGGAATTCTCTGCTGTTGTTTTGCATTTACAGATATTAACGTATGTAGACATTGCCATGTGGGAAGTCAACATCTTTAACATATCTTGTTTCTTGGCCTTGCCCACATGGATCCCAAGTAGGAATACACAATTCAGAGTTGACATCAAACTGGAGATAATCATAGCCATCAACCTGCAGGTCCAAGCCACAATGATGCCACCTCACCTCTCCAGGTCTGACATCTTTGCACTGAAGGTGGTCAGTTGAAACAACCTTGATCACTCTACATGAGATTCGACCATCTTCACCTTCTTCCACAAAACTTCCTCTATAATATTTGCAGAGTATCCAGTTGATAATGTTCGATTTTACAATGAAGCATTTGTGTCCTATAAGCTTCCAATACTTAAAGTCAAGGGCTCCTAACTGTTCTTCTGATTCAGGTGGAGTTCTTGAGACAGGAACCTTGATATTAGAAATTTCACGAGGGGACATAAATTTGGTCAAATTCCAGTTAGGCCTTGGAGTTACAGCATTTTGACAAGTTGAGAAGTAGCTATAATTAGTGAATGTGAATGTCCATACGAGGGTGAACCCTCCCCCATAAGTTACCATGTCACAGTACAATCTTTTTGTGTAGTACGGACTTAATCTAATATGGTACAGGCCTGAAGGAGGGGTAATTGATAGTTTTTGTAAAATTTCCAAGCAGGAGTTGGCTGCAAGTGCCCTGTTGTCTCCTATTTGTGGACCTAAATTAAAATAAGTTATTTATCCAATGATTCTTATCCAGTGAACACATATCAATCACAATCAAATCACAAGTATATGAAATAAAAGCAAGTACCAAGGTGCCAGGACTAATATTGGCTTGGTGCTTGTTCATCAGTTTTTAGCACAATTTTGTATTTTTTGTCTGCCTATCTAAATCATCTGCCATTATAATTCCAGATGTTTTGTAAGTTATCTGTTCATGACCTTTAGAATAATATGGTTGGATTTGGTTCAAATTTCATAGCCAACATTAAGGCATATGTAGACTTTCTGCCCAAGAAGGTATCCTCTAGTTTGTTGCTGAATTCAAAATGATCACCATTTTTCTTTGAATTCACCAAACTTCAACTTCCCTTGAATTTTAATCATTAAAGGTTTTACCTAGATGGGAGATCCCATCCTTTATAGTGGTTATGTCAGTTTTCATAGTAGAAATGTCATGTTCAATTGTTGATACTTTATCTTTAATGAAGGATACTTCATCTTCAATCATAGAAACCTGTTGTTTTAGAGAGAATCTTCTGCAGCTGCCAGGTTCAGGAACCACCCCTAAAACAATAATGATCAAGTATTTACATGCGGATGATGTTATTAACAGTTTACCATTTAAATGATTAGTTTTGATATTGTTTGTTATTGGACTTTGTAATAGGGCTACATACATTATGTGATTTCAAATGGCTGTCATTTTGTTAGCCTTGCCCAAGTCGGTATTTTTTTACTAATCTGATCTTGAATTATTACCGCCTTGTACAATCCAATACATCTCTGCTGATATTATGCTGAGATATTCAACGGTTTTGAGATTTCCATAATACCTACGCTATCAGAGGTATCGCGAAACCTTATTGATTGACAGATCGAGCGGACACGACGTGTGACTTCGGGCTGATTGACCAATCAAAACGTTATCAGGTTGAGCTGCATAAACAAAGCAAACTTCCCGTCTACGACTTGAAATTCAATGATCTGATCGAGTGTTTCTTTAGAGTTGCAATAGCATTCATGAATATATTATGTAATTAAATGTACATTGGAATGTAAGAGTCATTAATATAAATTAAATCATGCGATTTAATGTTGATTTAAAAGTGATTTCGCGATGAAAATGCACGATGAAAATGTAGCGGGTCATGCAGTCGTTGATCAGTGATTCAATCTCAGCCTACATGTTCGATCATTTGAATTCAGCGATTGTTTCAACGTTTATTGTTGAAATCTTATCACCCCCGGTTATCCAATCGATGCTCTAGCATCCACTAAACTCTGATTGATATTTATCTGATAAAATATTTGTATTTTCATGATGAATTCGTGCAAGATTTGTTCGTGAAAAGTCCCGGTGAAAAGTGTACTTGTTTTTGACCGTGCATAATAATAAGCTAACGCTACAGGGCCGTCGTTGATTGGTCAAATTTTACCGACATCAACAAACTGTCGGTAAAGCACGTGGCTTTCTCTTGGGTACAAGGTGGTCATAATAGAAATTAAGATAAGTAAAAGAGACAGACTTGGGCAAGGCTACCATTTTGTGTAAAAGGAGCAATTAAGTTTACTGCTAAAACTCTTAGATCTGATTAAAAAATTTAAGTTTTTTAGGCATTGATGCCTCAAATCTAAAATAGCTGTTGAATTCAAAATTACAATTTTGAGTAACAATTACAATTTGGCTATACTTCTTTGTTATGATTAATGTCAATAAAATACAAATGAAATATGTCATTGTTATGACATTCGAGTCAACATGTGATATGATGGATAAGATTCAATAGCGCAATTTTTAAAAAATATATATCTTTTATTATCCCATCGAACGAAGTTCGGAGGGATATCCGTACATACGTCTGTCCGTCCGTCCGTCCGTCCGGGCAATAACTCAAATACCGTTGGCCCGATTTTGTTCATATATTGTACACATATACCCAATGGGGGTAGAAATTCTGCTCGGAAACCGATTTTCAAAATGGCCGCTCATATAAAAATGGTGGCCATTTTAGTGCCGATTTTACAGTTATTTAGGTACTGCATCTAAAACTGTAATAGCAATATGTTTTAAATGTAAAAAAGTTATATAGGACATTGATTAAGCTAGAAATGTAAATACAGAAGAAATACATGGCAGCCATCTTGAAAAATGGCTGCCTTTGCACGTCCTTTTACGATTTTTGCTGTAACTTGAAAAATAGTGGAGCGATTTTGTTCATATTTGGTATGTGAATACTTTATGCATGGCACAATGGCTAATGACATTTTTGGTAGTAGGCGGCCATTTTTCAAAATGGCCGCCATTTTTACTTGTGTTATTTAACATTTTTTACTGTAAGTCAAAAAGTAGAGGAGCGATTTTGTTCATATTTGGTATGTGAATACTTTAAGCATGGCCGAATGTCTAATGACACTTTGGGTTGTAGGTGGCCATTTTGAAAAATGGCTGCCATTTTTATGTGTGTTATTTTACAATTTTTACTATAACTCAAAAAGTAGTAGAGCGATTTTGTTCATATTTTATATGTGAATACTATAAGCATGGCACACTGTCTAATGACACTTTTGGGTAGTATGCGGCCATTTTGAAAAATTGCCACCATTTTTAACGTTTTTTACTATAACTTGAAAAGTAGTGGAGCAATTTTGTTCATATTTGATATGTGAATACTTATGAGCCTTGCACACTGTCTCATGACACTTCGCGTAGAAGGTGGCGATTTAAAAAAATGGCCGTCATTTTTACATTTTTTGCTATAACTCCAAAAGTATTGGAGCGATTTTGTTCATATTTGATATGTGAATACTTTTAGCATGGCACATTGTCTAATAAAACTTTGGGGAGTAGTGGGCCATTTTGAAAAATGGCCACCATTTTTATGTGTGTTATTTTACATTTTTTATTATAATTCAAAAAGTAATAGAGCGATATGTGAATACTCGTAAGGATTGCATACTGTCCTTTGACATTTTGGGTAGTAGGCGGCCATTTTAAAAAATGGCCAGCATTTACATGTATGCGTGGGCAATTTTTTTTAAATTTTATATGTGGCTACTTAAAAGCATATTACTCCTTCTGATGACAACTTGGCTATAGTGAGCAACCATTTTGAAAATGGTGGCCTTTCTTATGTGTGTTATTTTACGATATTTGTTATATATTTTGTTTGTAAAATGTCAGCCGTTTCTGTTCGATGGGATTCGCTACGCTTTGGCGTTGCCGTTGTTCTGGTTGACTCTTTGATGTCATCACAAAATCACTAACAGAATAGATGTGGATATCCATAAGAAAATAAACATACAAGGAATAATGTAAGCATGAAATTTTCTAAAATTGAAACATTTTTTGGCTATTTGTTCAAAAGATCTGATTTTGGATTTATTGATATGTTGCGATGTTGTTACATTTGACAAATTAGTACAAAATTCTTATTATGTTCTATGCATAGTACTATGCAGTAGAATGTTTTTGATAAACATTTCATGAAAGCTTATGTCTACTTACCTTCTATAAAGGTACACAAAAGAAATACTGCCATGACCATAGCAAGATTTTCAAGTTTCATGTTTGCTCGTGTTCTTTATGTTTTATTTTCTGAATCAAATTTTTTAATAGGTTTCCTATTTTTATCTGTTTCTCTGAATGTATCGTCAAAGTGAAGGTCACAGTTGCTGAAACTGAGCTGAATATTTGCATGTATCTAGATACTGTTTAATGTAGAAAGTAATGTCATTATTTCATCTGAATCAACAAAGTTATTGAAGGCTAAATGTGAAAATATTAACAGGGTGTCACAGAAAAATTTGCACTTTATGTAGAATAATTCTGTGAGTGATGAAGGAATATTCTTGAAATTGTGTCATCTTACGGACAGTTTAGTGATTATAAAGATCTGAAAGATTCATTAGTTAACTCTATTGTAGTTTTGAGAAATTTTTATTTAGAACCATCACCATTTTTCATGTTGAACGGAAGCAAATGTGGAAAAAATGTGATAAAAGAATATTCTTGAAAGTTTGTCATCTGACCAACAATGTAATTATCATAAACATCTGAAAGTTTCATTAAGTAATTTCATTTTTAGAGAAAAGCTTGTTTTAGCACCTTGGATTGCATTAAGCTCAGCATTCATCATATCAAAGGTCAGCTTCATTTGTGGAAAAACTTTTTTAGGACCCCCAGTATGTCTGTTATGTACCATTATGAGTTTAGAATTGAGGTTTATATGTTATGTCTCCTATTTGAATTGCTGTTTATTTAATAGATTATACCCGATTCTTGCCTTTTGTTTAGGATTTTTAAGAAGCCAATGATTTCCCTCGCAATTCTTTTACTTTTTGAATCAAAGAATTTTTTCTGATCAAATCTAAAATTATTGAACAGTTAAGATACAGAAATATTCTTATTCAGGAGAATTGAAAATGAGAACGTCCTAATATTAATTTTTTGACAGACCTCATTAAAAATCAAAGGCTATCCTAAAATAAAGTTGTTAAATAAAGTAGACATGTAATAAAATGCTGAAAGCAAAAATATTGTAAAATCGGGAAAATGTAAATGTTAAAGCGGCATGAAATATCTTTTTTATTGTCACTGATAATGTTCATTTCATGACAATAAACAAATTAAATTGCATTGTTTTTTATATTATTGCCTTCATAAATATGTATCTAATGTTAATTATTATATACATTGGTCAGACAAATGTTACCATCCCAAAGTTTGTCAGGGCATGAACATCAAATAACTCTTTTAGGCCTTTCTTTAGATCATGGTTTTCATCATGTTGAAAGAGAGGACATCCAAAGATTGGATAAAAAGCTTTATTCTAAATATATTGTTTCCTGTACTTTCAGTTAATAGAAATAGTAGATCTACTTATTACGCTACTGGAGGCGCCCTCTACCAAGGACCAGCTGTTCCTCTTGATGTTTGAGCCAGAGATGGTAGAGCTGCTGTATGCACTTGTGGTACATAAACAATACTCAATGGAACTGAAGGAAAAATCTCTTAAGGTTTGTACGAGAGTTAACTCAATGACGGGAAATTTTCAAGTGATCTGATTGGCCCATGTGACACCTCATGAAATACAAATAGCACAATACTTTCCGTAATTTGAACTCGCTGAACAACCTGCATTACTATATCACTGTCTTATTCCCCACTCTCTCATTATCCCATCGAACGAAGTTCGGAGGGATTTAGGGAACGCCTCCGTCCGTCCGTCCGTCCGTCCGTACGTACGTACGTACGTACGTACGTCCGTCCGTCTGTCCGTCTGTCCGTCCGTCCGGGCAATAACTCAAATACCGTTGGCCCGATTTTGTTCATATTTTGTACACATATACCCTTCTGGGGGTAGAAGTTCTGCTTGAAAGCCGATTTTCAAAATGGCCGCTCATTTCAAAATGGCGGCCATTTTAGTGACGATTTTACAGTAATTTAGGTGCAATATGTAAAACTGTAATAGCAATATGTTTTAAATGTAAAAAAATTATAAAGGACATTAATAATGCTACAAATGTAGATATTAAAGAAGCACATGGCAGCCATCTTGAAAAATGGCGGCCTTTACTCGTCATTTTATGATTTTTGCTGTAACTCAAAAAGTAGTGGAGCGATTTTGTTCATATTTGGTATGTGAATACTATAAGCATTGCACACTATCTAAAGACACTTTTGGTAGAAGGCGGCCATTTTTCAAAATGGCCGCCATTTTAACGTATTTTACTATAACTCGAAAAGTTGTGGAGCTATTTTGTTCATATTTGGTATGTGAATACTATAAGCATGGCACACTGTCCTATGACACTTTTGCTAGAAGGTGGCCATTTTGAAAAAAAATTTGAAAAATGGCCGCCATTTTAACATATTTTACTATAACTTGAAAAGTAGCGGAGCGATTTTGTTCATATTTGGTATGTGAATACTATAAGCATGGTACACTGTCCTATGACACTTTTGGTAGAAGGCGGCCATTTTGAAAACAATTTTGAAAAATGGCCGCCATTTTAACATATTTAACTATAACTCGAAAAGTAGTGGAGCGATTTTGTTCAAAGTTGATATGTGAATACTTTAAGCATGGCACATTGTCTAATAAAACTTTAGAGAGTAGTCGGCCATTTTGAAACATGGCCACCATTTTTATGTGTGTTATTTTACAAGTAAGTGTGCGATTTTACAAGAGGTGGCTACTTAAAAGCATATTATTTCTTCTGATGACAACTTGGCTAGTGAGCAACCATTTTGAAAATGGTGGCCTTTCTGGTGTGTTGTTTTATGATATTTGCGCTTCGTTTGTAAAAATGCCAGCCATTTCTGTTCGATGGGATTCGCTACGCTTTGGCGTTGCCGTTGTTCTGGTTGGTCTATACATTACATGTGACATAAAAATAAGAAGGCATATTCAACGCCCATGTCTTTGACATCAGAAAAATGCGAAGTACAAGAGTCATGAAAAGTTTCTAAATATATTTCTTTTCTGATATTTCTCAATTGAATTAGAGCTGAAGAGGACTCCTGAGGTGAGTAACTAGATTGCCTTAGAAATGGGTTTTTAGAAGCGGGAAACTAAATCAATAATATTCAAATATCACAACTGCCATTTGAATATAACCTCAAAACTATTTGCACTCGAATATGTGAGTATTCGTTTCACCCCTAATAGTTACATGTGTTTGGTTGTAGGTGTTTACATGGCAATTTATAGCATAAACATCTAATCTTATAGGTGTTTACACTGCTGTTTACCTCTAATAAGGTCTATGAGAAGAACAAGGGAAGGGCAAGACTCTCAGATGTTGGCTACTCTGGTTTTTACAGCCTTATGGTACATCAAAACATCACACTGGAGGTGGCACAGGCTTTAATGGACCACATAACCCACACAGGTTGGTTTGACTTTGCATTATGTAATATAAAGGTGATGATTGTCTTTGTTTGACTATTTTGTATGTAATAAACATGTAAATATGTAATGTATACAGGTAATGCTTGACTATGCACACATTATTTTGACTATATGATATACAGGTTGAACATTCTGTTGTTTCTGTTACAGATCTCCCAGGCAGTACCAGCTATAATGCTCTGTTATCTCTTTTACAACTCTTGCAAGGAGCAAATCTTGACATTAAGCTTGAAGCTGCCAGAAAGGTGAGTTATCGTAAATGTTTTTGAAGAAGCAATATGGATTTTTACATTTCGGGAAGTTATGCTCAGGTACTGCATTGTTTCAATTTTGCTGTATGTGTTTTGAAAAGTTGTGCAGTTGATGTAAAAGTGAAGTACATACACTCAATGAATAAATATTTTAAAACATTCAAAATACTTTCAGATTCTTGCACTTATGTTTGCCAAGCCTGAGGGACCAGTCCAGTTAGCCAAACAACTAAGCTGGCAAGAGGCAATAACCCGACTCTTTATCATGCAGCCTAAGACCATGAACGCCTCTGAAGATGACTCGTCTAGTATCAATCCAGCTATGACAGTGACACCGTGTAATACACCCGAGAGGGACTTATCAAGCTCAAAACTGTCATCAGATTCTAGTTTTAGTGTGACAATGGATGGGAAAGGTGATCGATTGGTTGAGAATATTAAACGTCAGTTTTCTCTCGAATTGAATCAGTTTCCAAATGTGGTCACTCCTGCTGCAACTCCAATGGGTGAGACACCAATGTATTTTAAAACACGGTTTTTCGATGACCTTGATCTTATGGATGGGTCAAATTCAGACAGTTCAAGTTTACGGAAGTCCCAGTCCAGGAGCTCCAGTGCAAGTTTGGAAGATTTGTCCCAGATTGGGGAAAGAGAGAGGCAGTCCCGTGGGTCTCTCACCCCATCAACTACTACCCCTATTTTGATTGATGAGGCCTTTACAGCTGCTATAGAGGACAATGGTGCTAACAAATTAGAAAGTGCAATAAGTGAACCTGTGGAGAATGAGCCTAGGACTCCACCACCTGAACAATTACAAAGTGCAATAAAATCATTAGGTATAAGCCTTAGTATCAACGATGAAACGAATGAAAAAACTGAGGAACTTTGTCAAACTTTAATGATAATCCTTATTACAATTATGTGGAAAGGGGTATCTGGTTCTGACAAGTCTGCGTGGCTACAACGCTGCCAGGTGTTCTCTGTTCTGCAGTCAATAAGTCATCACCACGATTTGCTACTCCCGGAGAATGAAGTGAAACGTCGTTTACTGGAACTACTTCTTCAGGCATGTATCGCAGATATTCATGGGAGTGATACTGCTATTGCTACGCATACTGAGAACGCAATGGAACTCATTAAAGTTGTCTATGATTTCTTAGTGGATTCTGATGATCCCCTGCGCTACAGTGAAATGGTGAGTTGTGATCTAATGAAGGTGAGTCTTCATATTCAGAGTAACCTTTATGAAGATGTATTGTACACTTCTGCTTTGAGATGGATTCCTTTGAATGTGAGATAATTGTTTGGGATGGTAGGGATTTGCTCTTTTATTACTTGTTGTACTCAACTAATTCTTTCTTTTAAGTCAATTTTAATGTTTATAACCTATTTGTTTTCACTTAGCTGTATGGCTGACGGAATCTATCTTACACTCACCTCTTAGAGGGATGTCAATAAATGTACATGTATGTTTATACTGTTTGCATATATTGCAGCTTAGAGGTGTACCAAATCTAGACATCCTTGTTGTCTTGAACACAAATCTCACACTCACACTCTCACACTCACCTCTCAATTGGACCCCTATCAAATAAATGAAAATATATATTTCAGCTTACAGATGAGTAGTGCCATCTTCTAGACATTCTAGCTTTATTGTACACAACCCCCAACAATCTAAGCAATGTCTCTCACATTCACCTCTCAAAGGGACCCCTATGAACATATCTGAATATATATTTCAGCTTATAGATGAGGTGTGCCAACTTCTAGACATTCTAGCTGTTTGGAATGTGGAGTCAGAATGGATGGAAATGGCTCATCTGGGATGTAGTATTCTCCTTGCGTTTACTTCTCAGCGGGACCTCAATGTAAGTATACAATACATGGATGTATTTTTGGTTTAGTACATTCATCCCAGGTATTTAATTTGTTCAACATTAAAGGAATTTCAGTGTACTAAATTAATTTTTTGATAATACCCAATAACATTTTCAGTATTATTAACCCCAAATCTGGATGTCAATTTTAATACCATTCTGAGGTGTGTGATACCAAACACTAATTGAAGTTCTATTTATTACATTCTGAACAGGGAAAAGGAAGAGTAAGTGTGTGTTTGTGTGTTTTTAAAGAATTCTTTACTGTCACTTTGTAGTCACACAATTTCCATATTTTGGGCATTGGTACTGGTAGGCATCATGTGACTGAATTATGAGTTTTGATTGGATGTTAGGCATCATGTGACAACATTCTGAATTTTGATTGGACGGTAGATATCATATGACAGAATTCCATATTCTGATTGGGTAGTTCTTTTTTAATGTCATGAGATTCTTGGCATCATGTGAAAAAATACTGTACTTTGAATGAATAAACACAAGCACCTCACATGTCCCGAACTCACAACCTCCTGGTTATGACACAGCGCCTAGCTTGGCTTGTTCAGTGCACTTGATCGCTCGGCCAACTCCAACCCCTGCATCATGTGACAAATTTTGTATTTTGATCGAATAAAATGCATTGTGACTCAGACTATGACAATCTTATTAGCATCATATTCAGACATCACATTCAGACCCTAGAATTGGGCTTGCGATATTTTGCATGAATTCTTTTTTTGAGGTGAGAAATCCACAAGTTACTAAGTTCAAGTTATATAGATGTCATTGTACTTGTATGCAGTGAACATTCTTGATGTCCTTTATGCAGACTTATAATAGATGTCGACTGTACCAATTGACATATTCAACATATTTGAGATGACTGGTTTGATGTGATAATTTATCTATGCAATATGATCAAGCTCAGGCCTATAAGATGGGGGAGGGGTGTAATCAGTCTAACATGGGGAGGGTGAAATATGCACAATCACTTACAATCATTATATTTTTTATACTTTGATTTTTAGTATTTTCTTCAAAGCATGAAATGTTTGGCCATATTTTAAAGGGATTAATCCATTTCTACCAGCTTTTCACTTTGTGTTTAGATTTAGAAGGAAATTGTGCTTTCTGATTTTGTTGAGAAATATAGAAATACATGTTGTATGTATGTAATATTTTAATTTTACTAACAAGGATTATGGGGCGGTCCCAATTGGGATGAATTCTTGTTCTTTGGGTAAAATAATTGATTATAGACTTTAGTTTATTTAATCATTATTTTGTGTGTTATATTTTTTAAGTAACATTTTAGAATTTATATTTCAAATAAAAAATTCATACAGCTAAGAGCAGTTATAAAACTATGATTTTTCTATTGTGTTTTTAATAATAATATTTTAAATTTTTGATGAGAGAAAGTATTTAGAAAGAGTGCTCTATTGTATGATTATAATGCATGCAAATTTATTTTGTTTTTTTATTAGATTATTCGATTAAAATTAATTAATTATACCCTAGGCCATATATCACACAATATTTTTCTATGCTGTAGTTATGTACAATGGTAGCTGCAAAGTTGCACACCATTCTACATACAAGGCCAGTAGATAAGCTACAAAAGGCATGTTTCAAGATGGGCACCCTGGATCATATATTACACAATATTTTCTATGTTGTAGTTATGTGCGGTGGCAGCTGCGAAATTGCATACCATTCTACATACAAGGCCAGTAGATAAGCTACAAGAGGCATGTTTCTACATGGGCACCCTAGACCATATTTTGACCCAAGCTCAAAAAGGTAAAATGCACTAAAAGTTTAAAATTTTAAAAATTTCCATAAATTCTCATAATGCCTCTTAAAATCTTAAAATGAAAATACTATAATAATATAATAGGCTTACAATCTCTGATCAAAGAGGAACTTCCTGAATGATCCCTAAATTCAAAATTGTCCCCCAAATTAAATTTGTGTTTATTCAAAATGGTGTCATTGTTCAAGAAATAGTTTTTGCTCAAAGGAGACCCTCCTGGTTATTTCCATGGTGAATTGTTCAAAATAAGTGATTTGATCAAATCAGTTTTTTTCATTGGGTTCTACTCCTATGTAAAGTTACTGATTCTCAATGTCTGTCTGTGAAAACTCCATTTGAAATAGTTAGTTTTGCTTTATATGTTGATTCACGTATCGGCAATCTTTGAACTGTCAAAATAATTTGTGACAAATTTTTATTTTTAGTATTTTTATTTTATTTTTTTTAGTATGTGTGACAATTGTTATACTTTGTAATAACTTGAGAACTTTTACAGGAAACATATTTACAGGACTAAGTTACATATTTACAGGTCTAAGTTACATATTTAGAGGTCTAAGTTACATATTTAGATGCATGTTTTTAAGTTACCTATTTCGAGGTTAAAACCGATTCTTGCATTTCGTAAAGTAAATGACGAGGCCTTTACAAGTGCGGATTATTTTTATAATACTATACTACTGTGGTAAAATCATTGTTATATTGACTTATATGGGTAACAGTGATCACATATCGTTATCTTCAATTTGAGGCAATATTGATTACTATGGCAACTGATTAAAGACCTTGCATTTAGATACATTCCACACTTTCATACTGTGTATAACCAGGTGATATTTGTTATGTAAATGAGCCTAAGTTGTAAGGGGAAACAAACAATGAATAGAGAGTGTAAAATGTTTGAAGCGTTTTTTCAAGAGGCATGCCGATTTATGCTATTTTCTTAAAAAAGAATTTAGATATCTGATGAAATGTATATTGAAGATTTTAAATGCAGGAATGTCCAAAATTAGAATTAAAAAGGGGACTAGGGGAGTCAATTTGTGAGGTCACCTTGAATAAAATGATCATTCTGAAACATAGCATTGTTGGACCTTTTCAAAAATATGCATGATAAGGAATGATGAGAGAAAAATATTCTGAAATTTTGATCACCCTTTGAAAATTTACTGTCAACCCTGCTCCTGACCCTTCTACTTGAAACATATACCTTGGGCATGGAATTCAAGATGTACAAAACCTTCATGGTTCTTTTTCTCATCATGAGTAAAATTAGAAATTATGCTTCAGCCTATAATTTTCGTTAATATTCATCTATAAATCTGTTTGCCTACAATATGCTACAATATTGTTCCATTTTTTATACCACCACCATAAGTGGTGACGCATTTGACTTTTTTGTGGAAGGTGTTCAATATTTGGAAGTTGGTGTTCAGCATTTGGCGTTTGGTGGTCGTCATTCTGCATTTGGCATCTAACAAATGGCAGGTGGTGACATTTTGCATGTTAATGCCTTCTATAATATTTCTTTATATTTCATAATGCATGCTCACTATTTGCTGAATCTACTCTTCAACTCTATCAAGTATCAAATGAACAATTCTAATTATAAAGGGAATAGTTGATAATGTTGTTCTTTGTTTCTTGTCATATCAAATGTAACTTCAAGAATATTATGTTTTCTTGATTGATGGTGTATGCTCTCAAATGGTGTCTAGAATTTGCTGCTTTCTGAAGTAAACGAAGCTTAGAAGAAAACAATTTATAGAGAAAATGTTCAGTTCAAAAGAATGTTAAAAGCAAAAAAAATATATATCGTTATTACAGTTCAACTTGTATCGCCAAACACCTCTCTCATCCAAACATCTCTCTATCTGAACATCTTGCTCCATAATTTGTTATCTACCTTTAAAGGAATTCTATGCGATAAAAATGACAAAATATTGCATCATTCGAAAATAGAATCATCAGAGGTTTTAATTTGGACCATTTTGTCAGCTGTATGTTATTTATTTATTTATTTATTTAGATATACACTTTTTAACAGTGGCACTCTTACATTAAGGTGCATCTAATCGAAAATATCCACAATGCCATGTTGGTTAAAAACAGCACATTTTATCAAACTAAAATGAGTCTTAAAAAGAATTAAAACAATATGCCTTTAATGCATGCATTAAGAAATCTTGAAATGTGAACACCTGCTAATCAAATCACTTTTGACTGATTTCATTGGTATTTGGATTAGACATGTTTTAATACCATAATAAATGTGCTTAATTTAACTGCAGATTAAAATGGTTTAACCGAATTGACCAATTACAGGTGGTAATACAAAATTATACCTACAGTGCATTTTTCTTTAGAATTTAAATTTTGTGTTTTATTTTTTTTCAGAGGGACTTGATAACTATCAGTTTGTGATCCCTGTCATGAAAGCACTTATAGAAAAGAGCTATGAAGTATTAAATATGTCCCTCCATCTCCCCAGCTTGCCACCAACAACGATGAGTCCAACATTCTTCGATGATTTCAAATCCTACTCAAAATCAGAAGAATGGAGAACCTTTATATCAAAACAGGTAAGAGTTGTTTGACATATAAAGGAACAATTGCTTTGTTATAGTCGTCTTGTGCCACAGGGCATGTGGGTGTGGGCAAATAGATAGGGGACTAGAAATCTTAGCAGCAAGCAAGAAAACATCTATAGATCTGTTTTTGGTCACGTTGGGTAATCAGCCATTTTGCTTATTCAAAAGCAATTTTTATCCCCATGTCTTCTTTAATCTTATTTGCATCACAAAAATGACCAATACAATATTTTTGCCATTATTCTATGACATTCATACATGTACAATGAACATTTTAGATCAAACCGTCCATGGAGCAGTTTATCTCAGTGAACTTTGACGAGACTAGGACCGCAGTGAAGATGTTCTGGAGTGAATGTCACGAAGAAATGATGGTCTCAGGGCACAAGAGAAGCAGGGAGAAGGGGGAGAGCAAACTCAAATTTCAAGTTAGATTTATGATAAATTATTTTGAAACTAAATCATGAACTACATCTTTTATTTATTATGACAGAAAAACATAATAATTGATGTATAATGGCATAAACGAGTTAACATGAAAAATTAATGATCAAGGGTAAAACAACTTTAAAATCTCATACCTAGATAACCTTTCTATCCGATACTTCAATATGTTTCAGAGTCGTATCGTGGAACCATTCCGCACAAAGGGGAAGATGGAGGAAAAACGTTACGTGAACATTACTACGCAGCTCCATAACCAGCATGCATCTTGTTTGCGGAACTGGAGGGCTGCCAAGCAGTTCTTTACTGGTGAAAGAGGAGCTTGGTGTGAGAGGTACATTATTAACCCTAATGACTTAATTCTGTTGACTATGATTGAGTAATGAATTCATTCTGTTGAGCATGATTGAATATTGACTTTCATTGATTATGACATCCTCCTAAGCAGGTATCCAGAATCTGTACCTCCTTCTTCCCCCTGCTATAACCAATTTGGAAGCACCCGATTAAACTGAATTACGTGATCTAATTATGCTCAATGACTTATACATGATTTCTGTCGCAGTGCTGCGACAGCCAATCAGATTGCGAGTTCTTAATCGGGGAAATGCTAACTGCTTATCACAGGGGGTAAAAAGAAAAAATATATTCTTGATTTTGAAGCCCTGTGATTGGAGGATGTGATTATGATCAAGTATTTTTTTTCAATTGCAGTGGTGTTGAAATAAACCATTGGAAACTGTCACCACAGGAGAATTTCCAGAGAATGCGGCCCAAGTTGATACCCAACTATACATTTGATAATCACTCTGAAGCCAGTAACCTAAGAGACAATATAAGTAAGATTTCATTTGTTGAATAGATCGTTCCGATAAATCGTGCCACCTTTTGGTACATTAGAAAAACAATGATATACACTGTATTGGCTAAATTGATGATGTCATTGGTTGTAGGTAGAAATCTGACCATGGAAAAACAAGATTAAATAATTGCTTATTTTAAGAAATACAACCTATGATATCATCAATTTAGTCAATACATGTATATCAAAGTTTCTCTGATATATCAACAGGTGGCAGGATTTACAGAAAGATCTGTTGTTTATCTACACTCAAGAATAAGAGACCTGAGATAGTACTAATTGTAATAAATAATGATCGCAAAGATCTATTGTTAAACCATGATACATATATTATACATGTATATTTACTTATTTCCAGCTAATATCTTAATATCGTGAAATAATCAAAATCCATCGCCCATATCTAATCATTTCTGATGAGGTATTTGATTATTTCCTTCTTTCATTGTCCATCTTAACATTCAGCTCATCTCACTAATTTGATGTTTTTAATGTTCACCATAGAGGGACCCATGTTATGTCAAAATAAGCTGGAAATGTGTTAATTATTTAGAATTGCCAGAGGCGTACTCAAGCAACATATGGAAATTACTTGCATATACATAACTCAGAGGTTGAAAACCAATCTTATAGCTGTATTATGTAACCTGGCCTCCAGAAGCCTCCAGAAAGGGACACCTTTCCTGTACACTCTGAGCTTATAAAAAAATTGAAGTCACCCAGTCAACTAAAGCTTGTTTTTGCCAGAAGGAGTCATACCCTGCTCTACTTTTCACTGCCCTTAACTTTCCACTGCTCTACTTTCCACTGCTTTACTTTCCACTGCTCTACATTCCACTGCCCTTAACTTTCCACTGCCCTACTTTCCACTGCCCTGAACTTTCCACTGCCTTACTTTCCACTGCCCTACTTTACACTGCCCTTAACTTTCCACTGCCCTACTTTCCACTGCCCTGAACTTTCCACTGCCTTACTTTCCACTGCCCTACTTCCCACTGCCCTACTTTCCACTGCCCTTAACTTTCCACTGCCCTACTTTCCACTGCCCTTAACTTTCCACTGCCCTACTTTCCACTGCCCTTAACTTTCCACTGCCCTACTTCCCACTGCCCTACTTTCCACTGCCCTTAACTTTCCACTGCCCTACTTTCCACTGCCCTGAACTTTCCACTGCCCTACTTTCCACTGCCCTTAACTTTCCACTGACTTACTTGCCACTGTTCTACTTTCCTCTGCCCTACTTTCCACTGCCATTAACTTTCCACTGCCCTACTTTCCACTGCCCTTAACTTTCCACTGCCCTACTTTACACTGCCCTTAACTTTCCACTGCCCTACTTTACACTGCCCTTAACTTTCCACTGCCCTACTTTACACTGCCCTTAACTTTCCACTGCCCTACTTTACACTGCCCTTAACTTTCCACTGCCCTGCTTTCCAATCTTTTTTCGACAACTGCTAGACTGCTTGTAATGTCATCCAGGTGATAAGGACCAGAAGATGCTACTTGACAGCTATTTGATATTTGAAATATGCAATTATATTTCCTTTATTAATTACGAAGAAAATCTCAATATTTAATCAGTTGTAATCATGATATTTACAGGTGATGCCATTGTCTCATGCTGTTAGCTTGTTTTTATTAATGACTTAATTTTAATTGATAACTGTATTATAACTGTTATTTTTATTTCATAAAGGATGAAAGAAATCATTCTAGAACTTTTGTATTGTTGTTGCACAATATAGTGATATGATATGATAACTTAGATATCATTATTACATTTGATGTATTCAATATTTTCTTTTTTCAATAAGCTGATGAAGCAGTGTCCGAGTCTGACTTCCAACCCCCCATCACCGTATCAAAGGAAGCAAAGGTCTCTGATGAAGAAATTGGAGATGATAGGTAGGGTGGTCTTTATATTTGATTCTATGATTCTGTTTCAAAATGTGAATGAGAGTAAAAAGTTAAAAAGGAATAAAATTAACTGCAAAGTTGTTTATGAAACTGTTGCTATTGAAACTGTTGCTGTTGTACTCTTGTAGAAAATCCTTCTATATTACACCCCTCGTTTGGTAGTTTTTTGGCATGAAAGGAATGGCCCCCATAGGAATCTTGTCATATTTTTTAGAATTGATGTTATTATCTCGGAATTTATTATTGAAGAAGTTTATGTACTCATTAGAATGTTGTTTCTTTTATCACATCACTAACTTTCCTTCAAAAGCCGTTTGAAATTAAATATGTCTAGTTTGTTTTGCGTCAAAGAAAACGTCACATCCATTATCCTCCAAAATCTCTGTTTTTAGACACATAGCCTTTGTGCTTTGATTTGTTGACATTTTGATTACATTTGTAAAATCTTTATCCCACATTTGTTATACAGTATTGAACCTTTTCCTGGGAGAACTTCCTGATACAACTTCACCATCTGTCATATCGGATGAAAATACTTTTTACTAAATTCCCAGGAATTAAGTGATGTGACGTCACATTTTAATTGAATTTATAGTTGTATTCACTAAAAATGACGTCACTGCCGGTGAATACACTCTTCACATGTTTTCTAAGCAGGGACATGAGGGAGACATGGAATACCTCGATATATTTTTAGTCGCATGGTATCTAATTGACCAATGAGAGAACGAGTATCACGGCATGGAAATAATAATGCAAATTATTAAAGATGAATTTACATTAAGAGTTATTCTGATTTCAAATGTCTGATTTTTATATCACCACCACCAGAAGTTGTGACATATTCTTATGGTCTCCAACTTTTTTGTGGACAGTGTTTAGTGGATGGTGTTTGGCATTCGGTAGTTAGTGTTCCATGGTTGGGATTTGGCATGTTGTAACAGTTGGCATGTTAATGCCTTGTTTATATTGCAATATGAGCATTGGTTTTATGAGCGCCCATGTTAAGATTTAATTTGTTTTCACATTCAATTATATCATGTTTTCTCTGGCTTTACATTTGTAACATGATTTTTAACTCCAGGCTAGGAGATGAGGAATGGAATGTCATTAGTGCAGCAACTGTGAAAAATGAAGACCTTGTGGGCAAGGAAAAGTTGGTACTCTCTGAAGATTGTGAACTTGTCACAATCATGAATGTCATCAAAGGTCGCCTAGAGGTTACCACGACCCATGTCTATTTCTTTGACTGCAGTCTACATAAGGAGGAGAGAGAAGGCAAGTGTATCTAGCTTAGTTTATGTGGACAATATGCCAAATGGGCGGCATCCACTTTCACATGTATTTCTCACTCTTATTATTGGAAATAAATAAATAACATGACATTTACTTCATTTGTGAAAGTTAATAAAAGTAAAGTTATTTGACAGGGATGATATTCATATAGTTTACTATGGTGTATTAGGGACAATAAAAGAAAAATTTAAAAATACATTACTGCATGCTTGGAATGAAACAATGGTTACTACATTAAATGTGCTTTATTAAAGTTTTATTTGTTAGTTAACACATGTATTTAATTTTTCTAAAGGAGGGGAAGATTTTAAATGGAGCCTGTCTCAGTTAAGAGAGATTCATTTTAGACGCTATAACTTACGTCGTAGTGCACTGGAAATGTTCTTAATAGACCAAACCAACTATTTCCTCAACTTTCAGAAAAAGGTAAGACCTCACTAAAGTAAATGAGAGAAGTCTGTCATGATCAGTCTCAGTTGGAGACCTAAACAACAGGAATATATCAAATCTTATCCTCATTTTACCATATTTTCACTGAAATTGGTGTCAGAATGTATAAATATGGAGAAATCTATACATCACATGCAATTAAAAAAATATATCATTGAAAATTGTTGAAATTTAATATTGCTATTTTTGACTTAGTAACTTTAGATATACCATGGATAATTTCATCTCAGAACAATTGATAGGTTGCGTGAATCTAATGTGTGTCTTGTAAATGAGCAACTAAAGCGTGATATAAGCATTCACTTTCCTGATTGAAAACGATTGCTTTATATATCTTATAAATCTGACATCCGTAGTTTGATATGTTCTGAGGTTTCTGTGATCTAATGATTCCAGGAATAGAAGTTCTAGAATAATAGAGATAAATTTGAATAGACATTATCTACATATCAGCTTCATCAGACCAGTTATTTCTGAATGTATAAAAGGTATATAGATACCTTATATCGATGACATTAGAGTTTTAATGTTGCCTTAACCTTTTTTTTAAGTGTCAACATTTGCAATGTATACCTAGTATGCATACAATATATTGTAAAACACATACACATATATAGGTATACTGCATGTCTGGTGATTTTATTTTCAAAAATGTTTTTAGTGTAGTTGTTTGTAGCTTTTGACAAGATTAGTTATATATAAATGTATATATAAAATTATACAGTAAAAAATTCTTTATTTGTAGGTGCGTAACAAAGTGTACAGTCGTATCCTGAGTCTGCGGCCACAGAATCTTATCTATTATGGCTCCAGATCCCCTGTGGAGCTTCTCAAAGCATCCGGCCTGACCCAGAAATGGGTCAATAGAGAGATTAGCAACTTTGAGTACCTGATACAGCTGAATACCATCTCTGGGCGCACTTACAATGACCTGAGCCAGTACCCTGTGGTGAGTATATATTTGCATCATCTCGAGAGAACTATATCATAGTGGCCATTCGAGTTATGTTTTAAAATGGAATACTAGTAAGGATTAGGAAACAGGGTTTGAAACTGACATTTGTTACACTGCCTTGGCACTTGACCTAAAGAAACAGTTGCCTATTGGGCAATGGATTTAATGCCGTGTTTAGTTATCCCTCCAAAAGAAGTTTGAGAGGGATATAGAGAAGCCGTCTGTCCGTTTGTTTGTCTGGGTGATAACTCAAATACCAGTTGATGGATTGAATTCAAATTTTATAGGCTTATGCCTTATGGGTGTAAAACCTCTGCTCAAGAAGGAATTTCAATATGGCCACTCAATTTGAAATGGCGGTCATTTTTCGTAAAAATGCAATCTTTGATAACTCATATATTTTTTAATTTTGGCAATCATGTTTTCAACTCTTAAGTCATGAAATATATTAGGAAAGAGTGGAATTAGTAAGAAATATCATTGTAGATAGGCATGTAACTGACACTCTTAATTAATTGTGCAAAACTGTGAAGATCAGAAAATTCTTTCAAAAATACTAGAGAGAATTTGCAAGAGATAGACATGACCAGAGAGAAACTAATTTAACTACTAGCTCTCTGTTACAATAGGTTATGAATATATTCCTTATCCTGTTTGATATTTGCATTTATTTTCTTTTGATCTGTATTATCGACATTAGAATATGATCCCACACCTGTGACAAAGTATTTCCTCAGGTGATTATGTGGGGAATTATTGTTGTTCCAAACATACTATTTTCAAAATTCATTCTGCTACAATTGAATTAAGAACATACTATTTTCAAAATTCATTCTGCTACAATTAAATTAAATTCTGCAATTTCTAACTTGACAAGTCCCCCCACCATTCAAGTACCTATAATTAATTTAGAGAATGTAAACCAACAAGTTATTTTGGTTAAGTTCAAACACAACTGGATTCCTATTTTCCAATCTACATGTTTCATTTTCATTATTCCCCTGAATGAAGTCAGGAGGGATATAGAGGAGCCATTGGCCCATCTGTCCATCCATTCATCTGTCCATCCATTCATCTGTCCACCCATTCATCTGTCCATCCATTTGTCTGTCCATACATGTTTCTGTCCATACATGTGTCTGTCCATACTGAAGTTTGATGACATGTGAGTTGAGCCATTAGCCCATCCATTCATCTGTCCACCCATTCATCTGTCCATCCATTTGTCTGTCCATACATGTTTCTGTCCATACATGTGTCTGTCCATACTGACGTTTGATGACATGTGAGTTGAGCCATTAGCCCATCCATTCATCTGTCCATCCATTCATCTGTCCATCCATTTGTCTGTCCATCCATTTGTCTGTCCATACATGTGTCTGTCCATACATGTGTCCATCCATTTGTCTGTCCATACATGTGTCTGTCCGTACTGACATTTGATGACATGTGAGTTGAGACAAGAGTAACTTTGAGAAATAATGGGTTGAGATGGCGCATGTGAGATGACCACACAAAATTTACTTGTTAGACCTGTTTATTCATATTCTGAACTGAGTGGAGTATTTTCCAATATGGCCACTCAATTCAAAATGGCCACCATTTTTCATAAAAATATTTGTTGACTCAATTTCCAGTTGTTAGTTTGACTTTATATTCTTCACAGCCTGGTGATTTCTATCATAAAATGTTCAAAATGATTAGTCATTTGATGAAATATTTTTAGACAGATTTGTATCGTATAAGTTTCTATCTTTCTATTTTTCCCAGATGAATTGCTTTGAAAGAAACTGATTTCCTTTAACTTCTTAACACAAAATCCTGTGCCGGATATATCTGTCACAGAAATTTCTCTAACTTTGATAACTTTTATTCAATATTATAATCTTCTAATACAGAATCTGTAGAATTTGTTTATTACATTTTTACTCTATTTTTATCCTTTCTATTTGCTTTTATTGTGTAATTTATCTAATTGATTAGAAGATCCTGTTATTTTCAATACTCAAGAGTGAAAACTATAGAATAAGAAAGAGAAGGTGATCCTAGTATAGTGAGAGTATGCGGGCCAATCAGCAGGTAGTTTCACCAAATCAATGACCAATGGTTATATACCAACATAACTTTACATGTATTATAAATGAAAATGAGCCTAAAAATACTCAATAAAATGTTGAATTATGGTGATGTTGAAATTACAGTATTTACAGTATTTTGGTTCAACATTGATTATAAAACTATAATATTAAAATAATTCAAGTGCATAGAAAAACATGGTGGGGTAGTCATCTTGAAAAATGTAGGTCATCACACTCTATTCTATGATATTTGCTGTAACTGGAAAAGTTGTGGAGGAATTTTGTTCATATTTGATGATACAATGTCTGATGACACTTTGGCACCTAGGTGGCCATTTTGGAGAATGGCAGTCATTTTTACATGTTTTATTTTACTTTTTTCTTATAACTCAAAAAGTTGTTGAGCGACTTTGTTGAAATTTCATATGTGACTACAGAGAAGCACATGACACTTTCTTATGAAAATTTGGTCATGAGCAGCCATTTATCAAAATTTTATATACCGTATTCGCCGTAATAAGTGCCCAAGGCGCTTTTGAAATTGAAATTCCCATTGTAATTGTAACCCATTACAAAGAGCGCCCACATATGAGAGAAGTTGAAAATCCCCGGGAATTTCATGTATGGGAATTTTTCTTGCCAAAAATGCCTTATTTGCAACGAAAGTGACAGCATATTTTTACAATAATGATATGTATCGTTATTGGAGAGAATACGGTAAGAAAAAATCTAACTATACTGACAGTGATTGAAGAACTCCCCAGCAGAGCCCCTCGAGGTGAAGGAATTGTTTTCCGCAATTATCTTCAATATTTCCACTATAGACTGTTATGGCCTAGTCACATAGCCCGGCCGATGTCCGGCATCGGTAGAGCTCGGTGGATTTTTTTGGTGCCACCGAGCTCTCCTCATCGGAAGCAGAGCTCGGTGACATGAAGGGACTCCGTCCGGACATCTTCAGGCGACCGACCGAACACCGGCCGGTGACCGTACGGAGTCTGTCTCAAAATGGTAGTTTTTTTCTGCCGATGTGGCAGCAACTACCGGCTGGAGGTCGGCCGGACATCGGAAGGAATACGGCCGGTACCCGAGCAGGTAACAGGACACCGTGCGATCGCCGGCCGGGTTGTTAACGGGCTTTGAACAGTGACCGGCCGATGCTCTGTCCTACATCAGCCGGAGCTCGGTCGGAGCTCGGCCGCTGTCCGTTAAAAAACCTCGTCCTCTGGTTGTCTCAGATGCACGGGACACCGGCCGATACTCGGCCGTGCACCGGCCGACGTGTTTTCCGATGTGGTTACGATGGGGCTGCGATGACATGATGAGGGAGCTCGGTGAGAGCCCGGTGAAATTTAACTCCGAAAAATTTCACCGAGCTACCACCGATGCGGTCTTAAGCAACAAACGCCACGGATGTCCAGCCGGTGTCCAGCCGGTGTTCGGCCGAGTTCGGTGAAAATTGCATCGCTGGCTCATCGTAACCTCATCGGCCGGGCTATGTGACTAGGCCATTAGATATGATGACAGATGATCATTTTTCGTGTAAAAGTCATGTAAAAGAAATCTTAAAAAGAAACAAGAAAATTCGCTTGGAAATTTGATTTTTTTCTGATATATTAGTTAATACTTGGTCATTCCTTGATATTTCTTGAACTCTGTGAAGCAGGGTGGGCGCTTATTAGGGGTGGGCCCTTAATATATCCAAAAATAGCAGCCAAAAAATTGTGTTTTAGATGGGATTGCTAAGCCTTGGCATTGCTGTTACATTATTGTATTTGGAGCTATCTTATGTAAGTTTAAACTGCTACGGAATGAAAAAGTAATTGAAAAAAGAATGCTATAGACACGCAACCTGAACATAATCATGCTTGCTGTAACATCATGCATATTCCTAGAGTACAACAATATAAAAGACTGGCAATTTAAGAAAGTGTCACATATTAAAAGATTAGTCTCAACTAATTGACATATAAAAGTATTGAAGTAGACATTTACCAATAGGTTCATGATAGGTTCACTTCCTTACTAATCAGAAAACTGGGGAAAAGTGGAAGGAAGGTTCATAAAGGTAGAGACTTGAATTACAGAATATAAGATCGAAAAGGAGAAGTAATGTTAATAAAGATAGATAATCAGATTACAGAATTTAAGATTGAAAAGTAGAAAAAAGGTATTCGTAAGGTAAAAATTTCAGTTACAAAAGAAGGTGATTGTAAGCAGATATGGAATAAAGAACTATGAGCCTGGGGATTTTAAGAAATGGTACCACACACTCAGGAAGGCATATAACAGATGGAAGGATATACGGGATAAAAAGTTGGACTTCTTTTTTGAGCATCAGTAGATACTCACCACAATCGATTGAAACATTGAAATAGATAATACAGAAAATGTGAATGCTATATTATGAACATTAATGAAACAAAAATGGACATAAATGTTACAAATTTCAATATAAATGCTACAGACATGAATGCAAATGTTATAAACATGAATGCAACAAGCATAAACAGTACAGGTGTAACGAATTACATTCACCCACACAATTTACCCGAAGGATTAAAACTGTGTCATTTGATTATTGAAATGATTGTGGCTATAATGACGGTGCTACCAAATGGTGTAGTGCTCCTTAGTTACACGAAAAGCAGAGCCTTACGGTCAGAGCGCTACATTCTTCTGATGAGTTTAAGCATCTGTGACTTTTTGGTTGGTTTAATAGCTCTACCAATCAACTTGGTGTATCACTATATCCCGATCAACTATAACTATATAAATGAATGCTATCTTTGCACAGCTCGTACGTTTATCGTTGTTGTTTTAGCAGGTGTCTCCATCTTTCATTTAGCCACGATATCTCTCATCAGATTGATCACGATTAAGTGGCCAATGCGGCATGCTAGATTCCTGACACCATTTACATTGAGGATGGTTGCTATTGGCATGTGGGTTTATATGATCTTTATCAGCTTCTTCATGTTTCTTGACAAATTCAACACATGGACAATCAACACTGGTAACTGTCTTGTATATACTATCATAGTTCCTGGCTATTACAAAATCCTCCAGTGGCATATCATTTTGTTCATGGTGGTATGTCTCATCAGTTCAATTATGATTGGATATATTGCATGGAAACAGAGCAAGAAAATCGCTCAAGTTATTGTTCTCTCTATTTCAAACAAGGAAAAGGTAAAAACAGAGAAGAAATATACAAAGACATTACTGTTGATTGTTGGACTCTTCTTTATAACATACATTCCCTTTACTATATTTAGCTCTCTAAGACTGAATATAGACTCTGTTTGGCTACAAAGCTTTGGACTGTTCATTTCAATGCTTACATTGTGTAACAGTGCGATGAATCCATGGGTCTACGCTCTACGACATGATACTTTCCGCCATGCCATGTTACGCACACTTAAGTGTTCTGGTGGCATTGACAGTGACATCGGACCTCAGAGTATTGTAAATGAGAATTAGTTGAACAAACACCATCATATTATTTAGTTGGACTTACTACAGTATAATCCTCTTTACCATGCGGAGAAGAGGACCTTTTGAAAATGTGTGGAGGCTTCTCAGTTTCGAAAAAAGAAAGAACTAATGTAAGTGATTCAGCAAAATTAAAGCAACACCAAAATTGACCAATTTGAACCCTTGAGTTTTGACTAGGATATTTTCTGCATCAATGCCAATTTGTAAATGTATAGAAGAATTCAATAAGTTTGTTCTGTTATGTTCATGTTATTTCGATCTTTGGATAAGAATGACCAATTTTCATATCGTCTGGTAAAAAGTGAAAAGCTGGACTTTGTGACTGAAAGAATTAAATGAACATGTACATATTCAATAGTTTAAATTCAGCAACTTAGTTTAATATAGAATAGTAAATAAATGCTTCGAACAAATATTAATTTTGTTTTCCTTATTTAACAAGAGGCAAGTTGAAGATCACTATTCTGTGATATATATGACAACATGAAGGCCATATACAAGGGGAATCCCCATTCATAATGTTAAATTGCTGGTGATCTGGTGAAAGGATTTTTATATCACCTAAATATTCATTTTGGATGTTAATGCCTTTATTAAGTATGATGCATTTGTTTCCCCATGCATGCAGTTGTGTATATTCCCATTTATTTCTTCCCAACTGTTACCTTTTTCTTATGACTGGTGTACTCCTAGATGTTTTCTTTTTCTTGCTGTGTTCTGTTACTGTTTTTTTTGTTCCTTCCCAGTGGCACTTGGGCATTCATTAAGTTCCTTGTATTTACCAATTTGAATTCTTCCTGCAGTATTTTATCTGAGAATCCATTATAAATCATGTTCTTTAACAAATTACCATTATTTCAGGTTTGCAGTGATGTCTGAAATTTCATAAACATAAACATTTAATATTCACAAAATATTTTTTTATTGAAATAAGGAGCTTGTCTAACATACATACAAGTTATACTATTCCAGCATGGTACTTGCACTCAAGACTACCCACACAAATTTCTGTCTACTGCAACCAAAAATAGGGCTCTGTTGATACTAGCAGTTTTTTGAACAGGTCCCAATGCATCCATTACAACATGATACAATTGATTCATTCAGTCAGTTCAGAATGTTTGGATTTCATTTTTGTTCCGTTTTTGGTTATAGTCTATTAGTGGTCATTGATAATGGCCAATGTATTGATCATCAAAACTCAAACCAGTTATGATTTGCATAACATCTACATTAATCATAAAAACCATAACTATGTATCATGTATTATTATTATTATTATTAATTTATTAACCTGTAGTTAAACAGAGTAGTTTTATAATTTACAACACATATACATGTACATAATAAAGTCAAAACTATTTACAGAAAGTGTTTTTTGGTCACCTTTTTACATCTGGTTACCAGTGTACGCTCGCATTAAACGAGCTCTTTTTATACTCATTTGGAGAACAATTTCACCTATTTGGATCATGTCATTTTCAGTTATATGTTCGTGATAGCCGAATACAACGCTCTTTAAATCACAAGGGTTACCGTATTTATTTATAATAGAAGTCAGTCTGGCATGTTCATCAAAGTAAGCCTCACAGGAGCTAAGGAAATGTTCAATCGTTTCTACCTCAAACGTATTACACAAAACGCAAATACAATTTAGCCCAGAGTTTTTTACGCGCAGCTCATGGCAGTCTGTAGATAGGCGCATCATAATTTTACATACTGGAAGATTTTCTGGTTTCATTTTTGCGAGTAACCACCATATACATGGTTTAAGTAGTCCACTTCTACTAGTTGAGACATCCGAAATCTTTACACCTATGTCATGGCGCTTGTACATTGCGCAAATCGTGTTGTAGTCGTTTCTCTGTTTGGTGCCTATTATATTCCTAATCATCCTTTTCCATGTATATTTAGATGGAAAATTCGCGTTGGTAATCATATTGATCACATAGTCTAATAGATTGTGACGTTTTATACAATCCCACATCCTGTATATTGGTGAATCCCATATTTTTCCTTGTATAAATATGCTCATAAAGCGCATCATTAGTAGTTGTTTGTAAATATTTGTCATGGGAAGCGTAATAATACTGAAAAACATAAGGAGTTTGTCATAGTCCATCTTTAGTTTAACTGAACACATTCCCAGTGGCATCGTCGACATTGGATTGCTGCAATTACTGGGAAGAAATTGTATCCTTCGTCCAATTTCGCGTTGGGCCACTTCCATCATTTCAACATCACGTTGTTTATAGTTGATGATTTGAACACCGTAGAGAAACGTAGGGACAGTAAAGCTATTATACAACTTAGTGGCTAGAATGGGGGATAGGCCGTTTGTTTTATGACCGAGTCCAAAAAGCGAAAACAGTTTCCTTTTGCCACTTGATATAGCGTGCTTGGTGTGGTCACTAAAATCTCCGGTTGTACTCAGAGGTATGCCCACATGTTTGGCCTTCGTGACGTTTTTTATCGTGTCCGTCCCTAAATTAAATACGTATTTTTCGTTGCTACCATACGTAAGCGCGACACATTTCTGTGGGTGAAGAGTGTATCTCCATTTTGAACTATGTTTAAATGAGATATCCAGCAACGTGTCCATTGCCCCTGGGAATAAAGCTACTAATGCAATGTCATCAGCGTACGCTGGGGAGCAGGTATTCATTCCCATGACCTTGGCTCCTAAATTGCTCCTTTGGAGTTCCGTTAATAAGTCACTTATATAAAATTGATACAGGATCATACTGTTAACGGCCCCCTGAAATACTCCCTGGCGTATTTTAAAGGGCTCTGACATTGTTCCGGCGACTTGAACGGTGCAGAAGTAGTTCTGATATGAGTTGTACAAGAGTCTCCATAGCTTCCCTTTAATTTTGGCATTTATGTATAACTTGTAGAAGAGTCCCTCAATCCAGCAGGTGTCAAATGCAGATTGGATGTCTAATAATATGACGTGTACTGCGCTTCCGTGTGACGTATTATAATCAATGGTCTCATGTAGGGTCAATGACGTATGAAGAGAGGAACATCCATCAATTGAAGCTCCTTGTAGTTGGGGTATACAGTTCAAAAGTCGTGATTTGTATCGCGAAAGAAGAACACTGTCAAAGAGCTTTCGGATAACAGACATAAGGGTTATTCCTCTGTGATCAGTAGTTTTGAGTGTGTCCCGCGTACCCCCTTTAATTATCGGTACTAGAGTCCCAGTTCTGAATATCTGTGGAGTGTACTCGTTATATATAATGTTCTGGAAAATACATAATAGGGTTTTCAGTATAGTGGGACCTGCGTATTCGATGTGCTCCATCGTAACGTTGTCAGCGCCACTGGCTTTACCGTGCTTCATTTTACGCAGAGACGCATGAAGTTCAGCGTATGAGAGCGGGTTCAGTTGTTCATCTTCATCATTTTGAGAATCATTGAGAAGCTGTTTTACTCGATCACGAACCATATTCTCGTGATCATTGTCAAATAGGTTGCTTTCCGATGGTGTCGCTAATGCTTCAAAATGTGAACGCCATACATCGCACACTGCTTCTGGATCATTGACTATTACGCCATCTTTGTTTCTTATTGATGAATTTGAGCGTTTCTTAGTGCCCCTGCTGCGCTGGAGAAGGTACCAGAAAAAACGTTGGTCCATGTCAATTAGGGTTGTTGAATATATGACAAATTATTAGGAATTGAAAATTCCAATTTTGATATCATGCATTCCAAGCCATTGTATACATTTACGTGACGTGGGATTCTCAAGACGTAAAGGGAAGTATAAGATAATTAGAATTTGAATGCTGTGTTATTTATAATAGCCTATCAGTATCAGATATGATGGTATACAAGAACATTGACTTTGGAAATTCGATAATCAGTTTGGATGCTTACAATGTACATAACAGTAACAGTTATGATATTTATAAGATGATTTCAGTATTGTATCTTGAAGTGAGTTACAAACTATGGAAAGCAGGAGATGTTGCTATTGATGAACTGTGAATAGAAAATTTCTATGAAAAAAATGTATTTCATATGAATGTGCTTCACCTTTAAAATATTTTCAATTAGTGTGCCAGTGGCTTATATTTACTGCACACAACTATTCTAGTTGATACACATTGTAAAGGTGATACTTCTGGAGAGGAAATTCTGGAGAGTCAAACCTGAATGTGACATATATCATTATACAGCTAAGTGAACATTTGCAAGATTTGAAATGGACTCTGTTAATTCTTTTCAGTAAGTGCTCACTATGTCTGCCTTGAATATAAACATAACTGCTACAGATATAGACATAAATGATACAACGCTGAATGCAAATGCTACAAATATGATCAGTTCTGGAATAATCAAAAGTTTTCACCCACACAACTTTCCTGAAGGATTAAAGATGTGTCATTTGATTATTGAAATGATTGTGGCTATAATGACAGTGCTGCCAAATGGTGTTGTGTTGCTTAGTTACACAAAAAGCAGAGCCCTACAGTCAGAGCGCTACATTCTTCTGATGAGTTTAAGCATCTGTGACTTTTTGGTTGGTTTAATAGCTCTACCAATCAACTTGGTGTATCACTATATCCCGATCAACTATAACTATATAAATGAATGCTATCTTTGCACAGCTCGTACGTTTATCGTTGTTGTTTTAGCAGGTGTCTCCATCTTTCATTTAGCCACGATATCTCTCATCAGA